TTTCTAGGAAGTTCTTAATTTCTTCCTTGAACTCATTGGTAACCCACTCATTGTTTAATAACATGCTATTTAGCTTCCATCTGTTCGAATGTTTTTGCATTTTTTTGTTGTATTTGATTTCTAGTTTCATGCCATTGTGATCTGAGATGCTTGATATGATTTCAGTCTTCTTGAACTTGTAGAGACTTGGTTTGTGTCCTAACATGTGGTCTATCTTTAAGAATGTCCCATGCACACTTGAGAAGAATGTGAATTCTGCAGATTTGGAGAGTAATTCTCTGTAACTATCTATTAAATCTATTTGATCTAGTGTATCATTTATAGTATCTGTTTCCTTGCTCATTGTTTGCCTAGAGGATCTATCCAGTGATGTCAGCGGGGTGTTGAAGTCCCCTGCTATGATTATATTGCTGTTGATTTCTCCTTTGAAGTCCTCCAGAAGTCCTGTTTTGTTTTTTTAATTAGAGAGAGGGAGAGCGAGAGATAGAAACATCGATGAGAGAGAACATCGAGTGGCCACCTCCCACATGCCCCCCACTGGGGACTTGGACCACAACCTGGGCGTGTGCCCTGACCAGGAACTGATCTGGTGACCTCTCAGTGCATAGGTTGATGCTCAACCACTGAGCCACACCGGCCAGGCCTCCAGAAGATTTTAATGTATTTTGGTGCTCCTATATTGGGTGCATATATGTTTACCAAGGTTATATCTTCCTGTTGGATAGATCCTTTCAATATTATGTAGTGGCCTTCTTTGTCTCTAGTTATGGCCTTCATTTTGAAGTCTGTTTTTATCAGATATGAGTACTGCTGCCCCAGCTCTCTTCTTTTCCATTTGCTTGCAAGATTTTTTTTCCATCCCTTCACTGTCAACCTATGTGAGTCTTTTGTTGTGAGGTGGGTCTCTTATAAACAACATATATATGAATGATGCTCTCTTATCAGCTACTGTGTGTCTTGAAGGGTGCATTTAATCCATTTACATTTAAGGTTATAATTGATATGCACTTACGTATTGCCATTTTTGTTTATTGTGGTTATATTTTTCTTTCTATTTCTTCTACTAATTACTGCAGTCTTTTCAACATTTTTTGCAGTGCTTGTTTGGTACTAATATATTTCCTTAGCCTTTTTTTTTTTTTTTTTTTGGTCTGGGAAGGTCTTTATTTTGTCTTCTACTTTGAATGACAAGCTTGCTGGATAGAGTAATCTTGGTTTCAAATCCTTGCTTTACTTTGAGTACTTCATGCCATTCCCTTGTGGCCCATAGTGTTTCTTTGATAAATCAGCTGATAGTTTTATGGGAGCTCATTTGTAGGTGACAAATTGATTTGCCTTTAAGATTTTCTCTTTATCTTTAATGTTTGCCATTTTATTTATTTTTTAATCCTCACCCGAGGATATTTTTCCATTTATCTTCAGATAGAGTGGGAGAGACGGAGGGAGGGAGGAAGAAAGAGAGAGAGAAACATCAATGTGAGAGAGACACATCTACTGATTGCCTCCTGCATGACCCCAACTGGGGCCGGGGACAAACTGCAACTGAGGTATGTGCCCTTGACTGGATTGAACCTGGGACTCTTTTGTCTGCAGGCTGACACTCTAACCACTGAGCCAAACTAGCCAGGGCAACATTTGCCATTTTAATTATGATGTGCCTTAGTGAAGGTCTCTTTGGGTTCATCTTGTTTGGGATCTGTGCTTGTTGTACTTGAGTGACTTTTTTTTTCACCAGGTTAGGGAAGTTTTCTGTCATTATTTTTTCAGTTTCTCTATCCCTTACTTGCTTCTTCCTCTGGTACTGTATGATGCAGATATCGTTGTTTCATGTTGTCTCAAAGTTCCTTTAAACTGTCCTCATATTTTTAAATTGGTTTCCTCTATTTGCTTCTCTGATTCTTTTCTACCTTGTCTTCTAATTCATTGATTCAATCCTCTGTTTCTTCTAACCTACTGTTAATTACTTGCAGAATATTCTTTAGTTCAGCTGTCATTCTTCATCTCTGACTGGTTGTTTTTTAGGGTTTCTGTCACTTTTTATGCTTTGGGGCATTCTAAAAACCATTACCATATACTCTGTTTCTGATAAATTGCTCACCTTCCTTTTATTTAGCTTTTTCTGGAGATTTCTCCTGTTCTTTCATTTGTGGCCTGTTTCTTTGTGTGTGTTTCTATGTATTGGATAAGACTGCTGTGCCTCCCAGTCTTGTAGGGTGGCCTTCTCCCAGTGGTGTAGTCTCCTTGATCTTCTGAGCTGGGTGCTTTAGGGATAAATGTCTCTTGTGTGGGTTATGTGAGCCCTCATGTTGTATTTAGGTCTTGATTGCTGTTGCTCCATTTGTGGGTGGGCTCAGGCGTCAGTCTTGCTGACTGTGATGCTTAACCCCAACCACGTCATGCCAATTATTTATACAAGTGCTGACAGAATAAAATATGACACAAGATCAAATAAAAAACGTGAAAAAATGAGAGAAATAAAAGAATACTAAAAGCCATGAGACCAAAAGAATTAGAAGAGAAAAAAAAAGAACTAAAATAAGAGAATATGAAAGAAAAAAAGGATATAAGAATAAAAAAGAAATAATTTTTTTAAGTAATAATAATGAATATAGAGTAGGAAATGAAAAATAATAAAAGAAAAGAGATAGAATAAGACTAGAATGAAGAGGAAAAGAGTAATGAGATGTGGAAGAACTAAGAGAAGTAGGAAAAGGTCTTTGGATCTGCTCTTTGTGAAGCTCGCTGAATTTTGCGCCTGAGTGGTCGAATGTGGCACCTGGTGTCAGTTCTGGGCCTCCCAGGAGGTCCTCTGGTGCAGGCCAATGTGAGCTGCTGTCCCTGCGTGGCCCTGGGCAACCTGACTGAAGCTGAAATTGTTGTTGTACCAAACCCTATACAGTGATACCTCGGTTCTCGAATGCCTCGGATTTCGACCAAATCGGTATTCGACCAGGAGATTCGAGAAACTTTTGTCTCGGAATCCGAACAAATATTTGGAACTCGAACTTCCGAGATGAGCCGAGTTGAGCCGAATGGCGTTCATTCGGCCCAGCGCGCCTTGCTCGCGTCCTCAGTGTGAGTGCAGAGAGAGAGTCACGCTTTGTGGAGAGAGTCACGCTTTACACTGAATTGAACCCTTAGACATACTGTACACTTTTATTTCTTGTTGAGACTTATGTTTTTCTACATATTATATACAAATTAGGCCAGTAAATAGGCATTTTCTGGGGCTTGGAACGAATTAATCCAGTTTCCATTATTTCCTATTGGGTTTCATTGCTTCGGTTCTCGAACAATTTGGTTCTCGGCCGTCCTCCTGGAACGAATTATGTTCGAGAACCGAGGTATCACTTGTATATGTGTTTTTCCCCATACATGCAAATCTATGGTGAACTTCAACTTGTAAGTTAGGCCCAGTAAGAGTTTAACAAGAACTAATAATAAATTAGAACAATTATAACAATATACTGTAATAAAAGTGGAGACTGTGGTGTTACTAAGTAAAATAAAGGTGACTGAACACCAGCACTGCAATGCCTCGGTGGCCCATCTGATAACTGAGACACCTGCTAAGTGACTAATGGGCAGGGAGTGTGCATCACATGGATTCTCTGGACAAAGGGCTGGTTCACGTGCCAGGCAGGATGGTGACAGACTCCATCACACTGCTCAAAACATCGTGCAATTTAAAACTCATGAAGTGTTTATTTCTGAAAATTTCCATGTAATAGTTTTGGACCACAGTTGACCATGGGTACCTGCAACCATGGATAAGGGGAGACGACTGTGTTACAGAGACGTTAGAGACACACCAGTACCTGCCTGCAGTCTTCTTGAACTTTTTTTTTTAACTGCAGGTAAATGATGAGGCTGTTTTTTGTTGTTGTTGTTCATCCTCACCCAAGGACATTCTCCCATTATTTTTAGATAGAATGAAAGAGAAGGAAGGAGAAAGACAGAAACATCGATGTGAGAGACATATCAATTGGCTGCCTCCCGCACAACCCCAACCAGGACTGGGGATCAACCTGCAACCCAGGTACGTGCCCGATAGGAAATCGAACTCATCGGTCCGCGGGCCGATGCTCTAACCACTAAGCCACACTGGCCAGGGCTCCTTGAACTTCTTAGGAGGACCTGAAAGGCAACTGAGAGGAAATCTCTTCTCACTGGGTTCCTCGGGGTCAGTGCCCGCTGTGGGGCACAGCAGCCCTGTGCACCGCCTGCAGACCACGCCCCAGGGACACCGATCGATTCAGACGGGGGCACAGGAGAGAAGGGGCTGCCATTCTGCACGTGCAGGTTCACGGTCGTCAGGGTGGACAGACCCGCTCTGAATTGTGGGACAAGCACTCTGGGCCCCTTTCCTATAACTGGGTTTCCTATGGCTGCTGTGACAATGACACTAACCTATGGCCGGAGACAAAGCCCCGCAGGTCAGAAATCTGAAATCAGTTTCACTGGCTCCAGGCGCTGGCAAAGTGGGCTTTTGGGGAGGTTCTGAGAATCTGATTGTTGCCCTTTGTAGCACTAAGTGACCACCTATGTTCCGCTTTTGCCCCGAGGTGTCACTCCAATCCCTGCTCGGGCACACCTCCTTCTCTGGCTCTGACCTTCCCACCTCCTCTTCTTGGGACCCTCATGGTCCTATTGGGCCCACCCACACACTCCCGAATAACCTCCCCTCCTCCAGGCTGTCATACCTACAAAGCCCCTTTTGCCACGTCTGGGGAATCAGGAGGACCGTTTAAGGGCCCTCCTTCAGCCTCCCCAATAACTGGGCTAGTCTGCAGGGGCAGAAACAGGAGCTGAAGGGAGCAGAGGCATCCAGTGGCCTGGGGTCAAGGTACGAGGTGCGACGTCGGCTGCTGCAAACCCCACAGGCCGAGTGAATCCCGGACGGGGGGCATGAGCTGCATGGGGCTCCAGAGGGTCAGCCAGGTCAGGGTAGGACTCAGGAGCCTGGTTTTCGGCTCACGCAGAGGACCACAGCCCACCCACCACGGGAACAAAGGACCAGCACACACGCCACTGGCAGCTGAGATTTATTTAAAGGGCAAGGCTTGGCCATCACTGGAGACTCGCGTGTCAACTCTGGAAGGCTGGTGGCTGCAGCTTCTGGCTCCGCATGAGCCTTGAACAGGTTAGAAAGTGATCTCCGTCAAACCTGAGGGGAGGAAACACACAAAGCTGCCAAGAGACTCCTAGTGCAGAGAAGAGAAGACACAGAGGTGGGAGAGTAACTGCTGGGCCCCAGCCCCCGTGACCAGCCGGTGCAAGCCCTACCGCCGACCACGGCAGCTCCAGTCCCTGCTCCCTGCCCGGGACTGCACAGGGAGACGCGTGCCCGCGTGAGGTCGGGCTCCCGGTGGCTCTAGAGGGAACAGGAGTAGCAGTCTGGGAGCTCCCTGCGGTCAGCACCATGTCTGTCCTTGAAGAGCTGAACGCTGAGCCAACGGAGACATGGTTCTTCACTGCGCGCATACGTGTCTGACATCACGTGGCCAGGCAAAGTGGGGACAAAAGAAGCCCCCATCATAACAACGCTTCCTACACTCTGTAAAACCTGAAGTCAACTCAAAAGTACTACACAAGCCTGGCCGGCATGGCTCAGTGGACTGAGTGTGGTCCCATGGACTGAGAGGTCCCAGTTCGATCCTGGGTCAGGGCACATGCCTGGGATGCAGGCTTGATCCCCAGTAGGGGGTGTGCAGGAGGCAGCCAACTGAGGTTTTTCTCTCACATCAATGTTTCTCTCTCTCTCTAAAAATATCGATAAAAATATATTAAAGAAAAAAAAGTATTACACACAGCCTACGTTTCCCAACTTGGGAAAGTTACATAAAGTCAAACATAGCACCGCACAGCTGAGTAAATGTATAAACTAGCTAGGATGACAAACCCCCAGGGAATGATTAACTGCCTCATGTCAGCCTGGAGTTTTCACACGGGGGACAGACCTTGCCTCTGTCACATTCTCTATGTTGCATCAGCTGCCAGTGTACAGCTAGACGTCACTGGGACACACCTGGAGGAAGCATGTGGGGCAGCTAGCATGTTCCAGGCCAGAACTGGGATCCAAAGTGGTGTCCACAGGGCTGCAGAGACGCCCACGGACCACCCAAGGCAGGAGGACACACACAGGGCAGCAGTAAGGAGGGACAGGGCCAAGACCAAGGTGACGGGCAGCACTGAGGGGATGCACGCTCTCCCTGTGGCCCTGCACGGCCGGCTGGGCAACGTCGCCCTCATCAGGAGAGAGAAGGGAGAAATGCAACCCGCAGCTGCATGGGCTGGTTAGAGACACCGGGGTCTGTTTACAACCTGCAAACCTGGTCATAAGCCGACTGGTTACTTTTACTAAGGCCATTAGTGTGTTAAACTCTCAAGGTCTTTCGCCTGCCACCTGAGGCACTCCCACGCACACCTGCACAGGGTGGCTGGCTGGTTCGGGTGCACGGGATCTACCTGACAGTCCGCCCGCTTCTGTGTACAGAAGACGGGGCGTGACGGGCAACCCTGGAGACGGCCGTGGGCCACGCACGATCGGCCGTGCTCTCTGCACTCAGGCCAGCACGGCTCACGCTCTGCAGGTCAAGGTTCCCGTCTGGAGGTCCGAGTAGGAGTGAAGTGGGTACCTAGCTCGCTGCCCCCTTTGGTCGCCCAGCACAGGCAGTAGTGCCTCATGAGCTGCTCCAGGAGCTCCAGCTCGTCCAGGAACTCGAGGGACTCGATCCTGGGGAGTGAACGGAGGACAGGCAGTGAGCGCGACGAAGTGGGGACGAAGGTGCTGACGCCGACTACAGGAACGGAGGTCAAGCAGTAAGAATGGAGTGCTGCCATCTTAACTTACTTTTATTGAAAAGAAGAAAAAAGTACCATAAGCAAAATCAAAAGACAAACTAGAAAATATATTTGCAATATAAATAACAAAGGGTAGATTCCCTTGCTGTATAAAGAGCTGTTGTACTTCAGTAAGAAAAACTCCAAAAATTAATTTAAAAGATGGGGTGGGGGGATGGATGAAAGGTAAAGGGGAATACAGGTATAAACTTCTGTTATAAAATAAATAAGTTACAGACCTGGCTGGTGTGGCTCCATGGTTAGAGTGTCAGCCTGTGCACCAAAGGGTCTCGGGTTTGATCCCCGGTCAAGGGCACGTACCTGGGTTGCAGGTTCCATCCCCAGCCCTGGTTGGTGTCGTGCAAGAGGCAACCAATCAATGTGTCTCTCTCACGTCCATGCCCCCCCACCGTCCCTCTGCCCCCGTCCCTCTTTCTGCTCTAAAAAGCAATGAAAAAAATATCCTTGGGTGAAGATAAACAAAAATAAAAGTAAAAAATAAATAAAAATCAATACAGGTTTAAAATGAGTTCCAGAACGCAGTGTGGAGCATGGGGTACGCTGCTGTGTACCTGAAACTCATATAACGTCGTATGTCAACCATGCTTTTAAAAAGGCAGGTAAAACCAGTTCACTGGAAAAGAAAAACAAGAGGTTTTCAACCTCATTTGTGAGAAAAGAAATGTAAATTCAAACACCTGAAACCTTTCCAACTACGAGACGGACAGCCGTCACAAGGCTGACGCTGGGGAAGGACCTGGGACAAGCCTTAGCAGCGGGCTACGGAACAGGGCGGCGCTCACGGCGGGACGCTCCCTCAGCAGCCCACTCTCAGGATCCACCCCGCGAGGGCAGAGGTCCGTGTCCAAGGACACTCCTGAAGCTTCAGAGCTGCCGTGTGGGAACAGCAAACCCCACCAACGGAGCCGGCTGCCGAAGCAAAGCGCACAGGACACCGCGCAGCCCAGAGAACAGGGCAGGTCAGTTTGGAAGCAGGCTGCTCGGGAAAGCGTGTGCGTGGGTCACTACTGTCCACGTGGAGAAGGTGCTGTGCTCAGACGTGCGGAGCTTCTGAAGAGCGGACCATTTGGGAAAACACAGAAAGCTGACAGATGTGCAGCGAGTGGGGTGAGGGCTTTGGTTTTTCTACTAATTTCTTTTTCTTAACCACGTGCTTGTAGGAGTTTCTTCAAAAAAGCATTTTCAATGTAAACTTTTAAATGTGTGCACACAACAGAAGCATGCACATGTATATGAAATAGGATTTTAAAAAATTTTCTGTCATATCACATGCTATAGGGAAAAAATTGAGGCATTTCCAAAAAGTATTTAAAAAATAAAAAAATAGTCCATATTCTTACTATCTGCAAGAGCCAGCCCAGACACTCCGGCGTTGCCTGCTGCCAGGCTGGGGGGTGGGGTGTCTGTGCACGTCTGTGCACTCGTCCCTGCCTTGGCACGCAGGCCGAAGGTCACATCGGAAGTGAGACCGTCCACCCGTAAGGGACTGTCACTTCCTAACCAGTGTTCCCAACTCGTCAGAACACATTCAGAGCAGGCTTTCCATCACCGAGTTCTAGAAGAAACCAGCAGGTAACAAGGAGGTTACCTCTAGGGTCAGCTCCAGGAGACAGGAGACTGTGCTCCTCACGCAGCACAGCTCTGCTCGGGCTGCAGCACCCTCGGCTTGGAGAGGTGCACGCGCCCGGCGCCCAGCCCTGGCACAGCGGCAGGCCTGCCTTTGACTGCTTTTCACGCACAGGAGCTGGCTAAACCCTCGCAAATGTGGACACAACTACGTGGCCTTCACGGCGCTAGGAGGACGGCCACCGCTCTGCTGGGGACACGTGTCCCCAAAGGCCATGGCAGCACGAGGCTGACGGCCACTGAGAAGGTGCTGCCCCGTGGCTGATGCCAGTGCCAGGCTCCTCCCTAGGCCCCAAAAGAGCTGCCAGAGCACTGCCATCACAGATGCCAGCCCGGGGCTGTTCGCACAGTCGTCCCGGCAGGAGCAACGGCAACTGGCCTGAGGAACGGAACTCTAGAAGAGCCCAGGATGCTCGGACCTGCCACGTGGACACTGCACTTGCACAGACCTTCACGGCTCTGACGCGCAGACCCGAAAACACTTTCTTTTGTTACTCCTCACCTAAGGATATTTTTCCACTAATTTTTAAATATAGTGGAAGGACAGGGAGAGAGAGAAACATAGATGTGAGAGAGACACATTGACTGGTTGCCTCCTGCATGACCCCGACCAGGGCCAGGGATCAACCTGCAATCCAGGTACATGCCCTTGACCAGGAATCGAACCCAAGACCGTTCAGTCAGTGAACTGACACTCCAACCACTGAGTCAAACTGGCCAGGGCACAAGTGGTACTTCTAACAGTTAAAGAAGGTCTGGCCCTGGCCAGTTTGGCTCAGCAGTTGGGGCGTCAGCCTGCGGACCAGAGAGTCCTAGGTTCGGTTCCCACTAGGGGCATATACCAACAAAAAAAACAAAAAAAAAAGGTATGTGGAGAAGCAGGACCAAAAATTCTTCCCATTATCTTACAAGAGATCAACAACTATACCTGTAGGTCCCCAAAGGCAGGAGGAAGCAGAAAATAGTTAAAAACAGAACTAAGCTGACACCAGCACTGTCCAGAGGTGACTATGGGGTATGCTCCAGTGTTCTGCATAACAGGCAAATTAAACGAAACAAAACACAGGGCCCCACACCCCACATCCACGCGTGAGCAGGAGTGCTGTGCCCCTCTGAGCACGGTGACCCTCGACACTGACAGCAGACAAGCAGTCTACTGACAGGGTTTCTAACAGAATATGAATCTGCGGGTCGGAAAGTCGAATCCGTGCCTCAGGCAGCACTTCCCTTCACAGGTGCACGGAGCACAGCTGCACCTCACGTGCGCTACACTGCTTGAAACTGTTTCAGAACCAGCGTGCATTTCCGTTACGATGAGAAAATCCATTTAATAATCTGTGAGCAGACTTTTTCCCTTTTGGAGCCTTTGAACAGTGACCTTTTCCTGCAACTCCCGACACGGGAGCATGCGCAGTCGCCACTGCAGCGGTGCCTGCTGGTTCTGACGAGCATCACCCGTCTGGGAACAAGCCCTGGCTCAGTGCATCGCTAATGAGTTCCTGTCGTGCGCTGGAGTGTTTAACGTGCATTAGCAGGTCAGCCTGTTTCCGAACGAGCCCAGCGAGGGCGTCTGCCTCACCCCCGGCCAGGCCGCTGCGCCGTACCTGCTGACCTCGGTCTGAGGCAATCTGCTGTACAATTCCATCATGTTCACGGCCGCCGCTGTCTCCCACCCGTTCGCCAGGAGCCGCTCTTTCTGGAACGTGGTGGGGAAAGACAACCGCAGGCCAGGCCGTGAGTGCGGGCATCGTTAAGCACGGAGCCTTTCTTACCCGACTCCTCCCTCGAACGCCCACTCGGCCTACCACCTTTCTTCTTGGATTTCCCGGCGTTCTGTACTGAACACACACTGCTACCTACTTAAAGGAGGGCAAAGTGGGAGGTGTTTCTTCAGCCAAAGAAATGACATTTCTGAAAAGAGGAGGGACTACACTGTAGATTCCAAGAGACTTGGGGACATTAAAAAGTGTGGCCCATGTTTGGATCTGGATTCAAATGCACCAATGATGAACATTATAAAAAGTGATTGCAGAAACCGGAACACAAACTGGGTGTTAGATGCTACGAAGGACTTAGTGCCAGTGTCTTAAGTGGTAATCATGGTACCATCGTTAACCGGGGGGGAGGGGCGTGAAATTCCTATTGGTAGGCGATTTACCTATCTGCTGCTGACTTATGGAGAAATTATATACTATCTGGAATTTGCCTTAAAATATTCCACCACCACCACCAACAAAAATATGGAAGGAATAAACATTATTTACGAAATATTAATTACAAAAGTTGGCTGATGGAACATGGCTGTTTGTTTACTATTCCCTCTACTTTACTGTTGTTTTAAAAATACGTAACAGGAAGTTAGAATAATAGGGTGCAGGAAATATGTACTTTGGATACCAAGATGGAAAGCAGGGCTAGGATTTTGCTAGCGTGATCAACTGGCGGCCCACACGGAGCCCGGCCTCCTGCAGGCAGGCGCTCGGAAGGACTTCTCACACCCTCAGCTGTGCACGGCGGACCCCTTCTTGGCTGCCTAAGGGTACAGAGGGCGTGCCAGCCTCTGCTCTCTGACCTGTGAGTCTAAGGACTTGCAGGTTTCCACCCCTGCCAGGTCACACTGTCGTCTCCGCAGGTTTTCAATCATGATCTGTCCAAACCGATCATCCATGTTCACCTGGGAAGGGAGAGTACAGCCAGACATTGCCATAAGGGTTAATTCTTAAATATGCAAAATAAAACCACCACCTATTTTTTTATCCTCTCCCAAGGACATTTTTGCATTTTTATCTTCATATAGAGCGGGAAGGAGAGAGGGAGGAAGAGAGAGAAACGTTGACGTGAGAGAGAGACATCAAGAGGCTGCCACCCACATGACCCCAACCAGGGCTGGGGACAAACTGCAACCAAGGTACATGCCCTTAGCGGGAACTGAACCCGGGACTCTCTGGACCGTGGGCAGACGCTCTAACCACTGAGCCAAACTGGCCAGGGCCACTGCCTATTTTTAACCAGTCAGGACTGAGGTCTGTTACGACCCACGACCCAGTGCAGGTAATAGAATCTGTGCGCAGTGCTGATGGGGAGTGCGACGGGGGCTGCCCTCGGAGGGCCACCGCACACCCTCTGCAAACACAGCCTGGTCCCAGCCACCAGTGCGCGCTGCACACGTACGCAGAGACGCGGGGATGCCCACTGCAGCGCCGCGCAGCATAGAAGACTCTGGAGAGAACTAAATACTCCTCATTTCGGGGTTCAATAAATGCTGGCATGTTTCACATAATGAAATACCACATGACCAGGAAGAAGAAAGACACAAACAGATATAGAGAGAGCAATGTGGAATGATGTCCAAGATCTAAGAACTGAGAAGTAAGGTACGGGGGACTGGCTACTGTATTCTCCCATGTGCCTCTAGGAAAACACATCTCTTACACTTACATATGCACAGGAGAATTCTGGAACCTGGCAAAGTTGCTTCTCAGGTGAGAGGGCTGAGGTCTGGGGTAGGAGAGACCTACATTTCCTCGTCTGCCCTTTTGTACCACCTTATATATTTTTATTCTGAATGTAGTATTACTTTGGGATAAAAAACTTATATAAAAAACTAAATTTGTGTATGCGCACAAATACCACAAAACATCCTCTTGCGTCCACTATTACAGCATGTATTCACTGTTCCTTTGTCATATACAAAGTACCAGAAATTCACCACTAACAAGTAGGGTGAACCCAGAGATCCATGACCATGGCGAGGACCAGAGTTCCTCCCGCGGAGCACGTGTAAGCCGTCCGTGGCCCCAGTGGGCAGGTCGCGCGGTCTGCAGGCGCACGGGAGGGTGTTTGTGAGCACGGCCCCTCGTCACACCGCCCGAGTGAGAGTCCTGGCCTGACATCTGACTGCGGTGAGACCGCGGCCAGGCTGCCCTCTGTGCTTCAGTCCCCTCGCCGGGACATGTTCCCACCTGTGGGCTGTTGTGACTGAGTGTATGTGAAACTCAGAGCACAACACCTGTGCACAGGTAATACGTTCTAAGAATTTGCTATTATTATCATCATTGTCCACGTGGCTTTGTCATTTTAAACTGATTAGGAATGAATGTAAGGCATGTGAGCAGTTAATACATGTGAGGATGGGGACGATTTTGTGTTTGTGAGAAAGTTGACTTAAGTGGTGGGGGGATCTGAACTGGTTTGGGGACAGCATGGACAACATATTGGACAATGGCCCATTTCCAGGCCTGCTCCAAAGTGGACAGGGTTTCTGGCCAAAATTCACCGTCCGCCACCTCCACTTGCTGTTGGATAAATGGTGTTAACAGAGGAACACACCAATGAAGCAAGACGCCCGAAGCACTGCACAGCCGAGGCCCGTGGGAATGTTCGAAAAGCAGAACACCTCCCCCAGTAAGGTACCCTGAGAGCAAGGCAGCGCCCAGGACTTTCCCACTACAGAAGCGAGCCGAGGAGGCCGGCGGCTGCTCCGTGCACTCCCCAGGACTGAAGGCTGAGTCCGAGGACGCCCCGCCCCAGAGAGGAAGGAAGAAATCACCCCCCAGGAACCTGCACAGGAACCGCACGGGCGGGCGGGGACACGGAGACCTGGTCAGCCCTGAGCTGTCCATAATCACATGACCTTGGACAAGGCCCTGCCCTGCTCTCACGTGCCATAAAATTTTAAAATAAAATGAGGCAGACATTAAAATAAAGCGAGATGAAACTAAAATCAACAATAAAATTAGCTACGAGGTACTCAGTGTTTATCTTGTGCCCTGCTGTGCAACGTCTCGTGAATTCCCATAATAAACCAGAGAGCAGGCATTCTTTCTCTTTATGAACGACATTTCCGTAACAGCTGGGTAAGGCTGCAAACAACCCTGTGAAGTCAGGACTTTTATTATCCTCATTTCTCAGATGAGGAACAGGCACAGAGAGGTTATGTAACTTGTCCCAGTCACACAGCTACAGTCTACCTCAGGAGCATGGACTCCGAACCACCAAACAATTCTGCCCAAGGTCACACAGCCAGGATTCCGACCCAAGTTGGATCATCCCAAAGCTCTAAAACAACCCAGTCTGCACTAAATCAGAAGAGGCAAATCCTCAGCCAGTGGACCAAATTCAGTGAATTTAGAAATTAGAAAATGTTACATTAAAATCCTGCATTTCTAACTTCTGAAAAGCTGGGAGTTCTGGCAACTCTGGGCTCACAGGTCCACGTGGTGACGACTGGCTGGGACCGGAGAGTGGCCGCTCTCATGGGCTGAGACATGGGTGGCCGGCGCACATAGTCCCCAGCGTCCGCCACTCGCATCACGCGCCCGCCTGCGGGCACTGACTCTGCTACCCCCACAGTGTGGGCAGCCGAAACTCCCCCATCAAGGGCGATGACTTGAGAGTAAATACAGTGACCAAATGAGAACTCAAAAACCTTTTATAAGGGCCAAGATAGCAGTTCCTAAAACTCTGGCTTGCAGGAAGTCGGAGCGAGGTGCAGGGCCTGCTGGCATTGATGAACGTAACAAAGGACACAGGAGAAGAAAGTAGAAGCATGCACAGGTGCTCGGGGGGAGAGCCACCCTGGGCTCCCTCTTACCTGTTCGTAGTTGATGAACATGGCAGTCCCAAAAACGCTGGCCGCCCACTTGATGAGGTTTGCAGACTGCTCCGGAGTCATGTAGACCAGCACACATTCCGTTATCAGGAGTGTCGGCAGCCTTGAGGGGAGAAAAAGAGGCCACACGCACTGTCGTTGGCTGGACCCTAGCTGTGCACGTGTGGCAGTCCTGGTGGGGCAGCTCACACCCCACGGACAGCAGCAGTGCTCAGCTAGCACATGGCCAGTCAGCGCAGTAACACGGGCGACACGATCACGTCCCAAAGATGTGAACTGTACAAAGGTGAGCAGCGAGCAGGGGTCTGTCTGGCTCGTGAAACTGTGTTAAATGGCTGCAGATTCTCCCCAGCCCTGCACCCATACAGTGGCAATACGAAACTGCGGGTCTGTCACTCAAGTGGTGGAGATCATGTCCTTCCCTCGGAACCTGGGTCAGTCACGCAACTTGCTTTGGCCAATGAACAAGAGCAGAGCAGCCTGACGACCATCTGCACACAGGCACTTGCTCTCCTGCTGCACTTGGCAACCTGAAACCACTGTGCGAAGGAAGCCAAGCCAGCCTGCACAGGAGGGGAGGCCGCCCAGGCGACAGTGGACCAGCCCCCGGCTGGCCTGCCTCTGCACGCCTGCCAGCGCACATGCACACAGCCGCGCACGCCAGTGGACCCCAGGGGTTATTAGCTGGGCCTGGCCTCCCAGCAGAAGAACCATCCAGCTAAGCCCAGCCCAAACTTCAACTCAGGTTCCTGAGCAAAGTGGGAGCTGTATGAAACTTGGAAGTTTGGAAGGATTTGTTGCACATGAAAAGCTGATGGATACAATGCAGGAATACTAATAATGCAGTACCACAAAAATCGAAAAGAACACGATCAGTCCTCAAGAAATTCCATTATACTCAGCATCAATTCTCACTAACCAGACCCAAAGTACTGAATAAATTAGGAAAAACAACAACTCCTGCGAAAATATCTAAAAGTCTCAATTTTGTAATGGGAACACTAACTCAAAGAGGTCTTAAACAAACAAAGAAAAAAAACCCACTCGGCCCTGGCCAGTTTGGCTCAGCGGTTAGAGCGTCGGCCTGTGGTCCGGAGAGACCCGGGTTCGGTTCCCGCTAAGGGCACGTACTTCGGTTGCAGTTTGTCCCCGGCCCTGGTTGGTCGTGCGGGTGGCAGCCACTCGATGTGTCCCTTCACATCAATGTTTCTCTCTCTCTCTCCCTTCCTCTCTCTCCCTCCCACTCTATCTGTACAAAAAATGAAAAAATATCCTCGGGTGAGGATTAAAAAAAAAAACAAAAACCCACTCGTATTCAATAACTAACAAGCAGGAGAGGTCAGACTGGAGCCCAGAATAAGATATCACGATGTGGGTGGGGCTGCAGGCTACCTGTACCAGCTTTAACAATCTACTACTGATCTTCACCCGCTTCACTCACTCACTTGCCCAAGGAAACCAGTAGTGTCCTTGAACGTCAAGACTCGCCTTCTGCTAAAAGAACACACTACATCTAACCCTGACTGGTTTAGCTCAGCGGTTAGAGCGTTGACCTGTGGATCAAAGGGTCATGGGTTCAATTCCCAGTCAAGGGCATGCACCTGGGGTACAGGTTCAATCCTCGGCCCTGGCAGGGGTCGTGAGGGAGTCAACCAATCCCTGTCTCTCTCTCACATCGATGTTTCTCTCTTCCTCCTTCCCTTCCACTCTATCTAAAAATCAATGGGAAAAATGTCCTTGGGTGAGGATTAGGCCCACTCCCCACAAAAAAACAACAACACACCACATCTTGCAATCTGTGAATCCTAAGGACAAGCTGGCTGATGGTTCGAGGCTAAACAGGCACACCAGGACTTCACAGAGCAGACAGGACAGCCGTCACCACATAGATGAGAGATGTGTGAGAAACACAAAGCTTTGACTCCCTACACTTCCCTCCCCTCCGTCACCGAAAGTTCACCTGTCCTTGCGCCTGTCTCACTCCCTTCTCCTCTCTCAGAGGGGTGGGGCCTCTCCTTCCCCTGAAGGACAGCCTCAGCCCTACAGCCCCTTCCTCTCTAGCAATGACCCTCTAGTTGCTAATGTCTTTCATCATTTGCCATTAATTTTTGTCTTCGATTTCTTCTTTAAAATAGCATCTCCTTAGTGAGGGGTCTCCGTCCCACACCAGGCACCTAGCTCAGGGTTCCAGTGCCAGGAAGAGAATCCCCATCACTTCTGGCTGTAAAACCAGTGGGAACTGAGGTTGAGGAAGGTTGAGGCTGCTGGAGCCCCAGGCAGCTCCTCTTAAAGGGCCCGCATACATGAACTTATTCGGACTCACTCCTTCTGGGCTCCAGGGTGGGGGAGGCGGCTTGAAAGGCACTAGAAACATATGGGGAAGAACTGAGTTGTTTGGCATTGGGGCGAGAGCTGGAGGGGCAGCTTTCTCCTGGACAGATTTGCTGTGGGAGACCGTTGATCTTTGGTGAGCCCTTCTCCCGGGGCAGCAGATGGCTACCATATCTGAGACTCCAGCAACAGTGGCTCACACTGTATGCCCAGCCCTGGTGATTCCCTGAGGCCCTGCTCCACCCAACTTTCAGGCCCACCCAAGCTGTTTCCAAAGGCTTTACCATAGGATTGGCCTGTCTTGGAGCCTGCTTCAGATTTTCCTAAAATCTCCCAAACAAGTAGCATCTGGTCTCAGCGAGCTCCATGCCTCTCGTTAAGTGGCCCCAGGCCTGGCACTAGAAGCCGCCAGCCTTGATTCACAACTTAGCTTTGCCTTGGCCCCTCCAAGCCCAGCACAAGAAGCAGCCATTGGCAGATCACTGTGTAGCTTATACCTGGAGGCCCCAGTGAGAACACAGGCAGTGGCCAACCTTGCCCCAGAGCCAGCACACCCAGTGGACAGCTTCAGACCACATTGAAGCACCACCACCCAACCACCTCCACAAGCGACACACTCAAGGAGTGGACTCAGTGGGTACCAGAGCCCTGCTGAAGTAAGTCTTGCTCTATGTGGTGGGCCCTGAACAGCTGATCTTCCAAGGTGGTCAGAGGCCAGTGGGCAGTGGGCACAGCCAGTCCTAGCAGCTGATCAGCCTGAGTAAATCCCTCCCATTGACGTGCCAACAGCAATCAAAACTCAGTTACAACAGAAGGGTGTACAGGCCACACTAGGGGTGCATCTCGAGGGGCCTACTGGGGTGATCAGGGAGGCTGTGCCACTGGGTCCTACAGGACACCTACAACAATAGGCCACCCTACAAAGCCTAGGAGACATAGCAAGTCTACCTAATACATAGAAACATTCACAGGGAAGTAGCCAAAATGAGGAGACAAAGAAGCATGTCCCAAAGGAAAGAACAGAACAAAACTCCAGGAAAAGAACTAAACAAAATGGAGATAAGCAATCAATCAGATGCAGAGTTCAAAACACTGGTTATAAGGATGCTCAACGACCTTAGTGAGACCTTCAAGGAACTTAAGGAGAACTCCAAGGAACTTAGTGAGAACATCATCAACATGAAAAAGGACCTGTCAGAAATGAAGGATGCACTAACTGAAATAAAGAATAATCTACAGGGAATCAATAATAGAGTAGGTGAAGCCAAGAAGCAAAGCATCGATTTGGAATATAAGAAAGCAAAAACTACCCAATCAGAACAGCAAAAAGAAAAAAGAATTTAAAACAATGAGGATAGTGTAAGGAGCCTCTGGGGCAACTTCAAGCACACCAACATTCATATCATGGGGGTGCCAGAAGGAGAAGACAGCAAGAAATTGAAAACCTATTTGAAAAAATAATGACAGGAAACTTCCCTAAATTGGTAGAGGAAACAGACATACAAGTCCAGGAAGCACAGAGAGTCCAAAACAAGATGAACAGAAAGAGGCCCACACCAAGACACATCATCAAAATGCAAAAAGTTAAAGACAAAAAGAGAATCTTAAAAGCAGCAAGAGAAAAGCAGTTTGTTACTTATAAAGGAGCTCCTATAAGACTGTCAGATGATTTCTCAAAAGGAACTTTGCAGGCTAGAAAGAATGGCAAGAGATATGCAAGGTGATGAAAAGCAATGACCTATAAGTAAGATTACTCTGTCCTGCAAAGCTATCATTTAGAATCAATGGACATATAAAGAGTGTCCCAGACAAGAAAAAGCTAAAGGAATTCATCACCACCAAACCATTATTATATGAAATATTGAAGGGTCTTCTTGAAGGAGAAGAACAACAAAAATATGAATAATAAAATGGCAATTAATACATATCTATCAACAATTGAATCTACAAACAAAATGGGCAAGTAGAACATAAACAGACTCACAGATAGAGATCTTTTTGTTTCTTGCCAGAGGGGGAACTGGGGGGATGGGTGAAAAAGATGAAGGAATTAAGAAGTATAAATTGATTGTTAGATTGATGAACCTCAAAGGGAAGGGGGAAGGGAAGGCAGGAAGAGATAAACAAAAGACTTTTTTGCATATATGCATAACCAATGGACAGACAATAGTATGGGAAAGGCAGGAGGGGGGCAGCATTAGGGAGGAGGGGGTCAATGGGGGGAAAAATGGGGGACATCTGTAATACATTCAACAATAAAGGTAAGTTTTTAAAAAATATAACATTCCCTTGACTTTACCCTCCCCTCAAGCCTCTCCCTTGAGTTAGTCACCTCAAATATTCTTGAGAGTGTCATCTGCACTTACAATAGACTGTGTGGACATGTCTACCTCCCACGACTCTAACTCCAGTCTAATCAGGACCAGCATCACTGTGCTACAACCACAAATTTCACACCACCCTCCTCTGTGCCCACAGGCCCTCATTCTCAGAATTTGGTGTGAACCCTTCTGCTTCATTTTAAAAATACTTCTGTGAGGTATATACATAATCTTAAAAATATAGTATTGGGGGTAATTTTATACACTAAACATATTACTCTGTGACTTATTTTATTTATTCAATATTAAGTTTTTGAGCTCTCTCCGTGTTAACTTAGGTCATACATTGTACAGGTTATTCATCCATTCTCCTCCTGATGGACATTTAGGATGTGTTCGATTTTCTGCTACTAAAAATGGTGGCTGCAGTGAACACCCACCTGTGCATACATGCAGGGGACACACCTGAAGGTGAAACTGCTGTATCATATGGTGTACACATCTGCAATCGTATTAGGTATTTCCAGACTGCTCCTCACCACAGTCATACTGAGTTTACTTCCACCAGTGGCATGACCATAACTTTTACCCTGTCACCTTGCCACCACTTAATATTGCCAAACTTTTACATTTTTGCCAACTTGATGGGAGTGAAATGGAATTTCATCTGATTACTACTGTAGTTCAGTACCCTTTTCCTATGATTTTCTTTAGTTTCTTTTCTGAGCTGCCTGACCTTTTTTTTTTTTTTTTGGCTCATTTGCCTATGGGACTTTTTTCTTTTGGTACATGCTCCTAGCAGGAACCGAACTCAGGACTCTCTGGTCCGCAGGCCAACGCTCCAACCGCTGAGCCAAACCAGCCAGGGTGACAGTAGCTGTTCTTTATATACTCTGGATACTAATCCTTTCTTTGAATGTTGCAATTGTTTGTTTCTGCACATACAGTTACCTTCTCTCAATCTTTGTTCATACTACACATCAGTATTTTACAAAAGCAATACAGGTGATTCTGATGAGAAATAGACCTGAAAAACAGTGCTTCTAAAAAATTCAGAAAATTACATGAGGCAGGGAAGAAATGAAAAGTGGGGAATGGGTATCTCATTTAGCATGAGACCAAAGATGTGCAAGAGGTTAAAAATAATCTTACTGTGTATCCATGTTACATTTCTTTAGTTTCTCTTCCAGTTCAGATAAATCTCGAAGGTCTGCTCCAATAACGGCATATCTCTTTGAATCCAACGTGTATCCATCTGCAAATACAAGAGAAGATAATTTCAACAGAAATTAATCAAGAAGAGATTATAATTCCAATGGATATGGCTTCTTCTAAATTAAATTGTTTTTATCCATTAGAAAAATACATGCTCATTATTTTAAAAAATCAGATAAGAGGAGAGTGAAAATTAACTAAAATCACATTTCCCAAAATATCTTATTAGTGTTCTGGTGTATAACATTCCAGCTTTTTTCCCTATGTGCTTAAACTCATATATACAATGCAAACTCTCTCTCTCCACACATACACACACCGCAAGGAAAAAGAAAATGGGGCCACTCAATACTTGTTTCGAAAAATGGTTTTCCTACTTAACAGTGATTTCATGGCATTCTGCTGAGGGATAAACAACTGACTGACCAATCCCTCACTAGTACATGTGGTATTTCTAAGTTGTCTCTGCCTTGGGCACTGCAATGAGCGTCCCAGTGCATGCATTATGAAGCACCTGTGTAGTTATTTCTTTTTCTGTTTTTAATCTTCACCAAGGATATTTTTCCATTGATACACACACACACACACACACACACACACATATATATATATATATATATATATATATAGAGAGAGAGAGAGAGAGAGAGAGAGAAACATTGATATGAGAGAGACACATCTATTGGCTGCCTCCCCAACACCCCAACCAGGGCCAGGGACGAACCACAACCGAGGTACGTGCCCTTCACTGAAATCAAACCTGTGACTGTATGGTTTGCAATCTGATGTTCTAACCTCTGAGCCAAACTGGCCAGGGCTAATTTTTTCCGTAAAGTAAGTGCAGAGTAAGGTGTGAGATATATACATCCAGGGGTGCTCACTGCAGGATCTAAGACAGAGATGCTATTTAAGGCACACAGTTGCAATAATAGCAAATATGTCCCAGAGATTTAAGGCACACTATGTGAACACTGACAACACTGCACTATAATCCTCCAACTTGCTGAGACTAGATCTTCACTATTCCAACCACTAAAGAGTGATAACTGTGTGACATAACAGGGGTACTAATCATCACTGCAGTGGCAGTCATGCTACAACATATAAATGTATCCAATTAACAGGCACACCTTGCATTTACACAGTGTTGTATGTCAAACATATTTCCATTTTAAAAAGTAGGTTAATACAAGTGGAATTAGGAGGTCAAAGAGTAAGCCTATTTCACACTGGTACTGTACTGACTGGCAGGCTGGTCTCTAAACGTGCCAATCTGTAAGGTATTATGTTAAAAATATAATTTATGGTCTAAACTATTTGCAAATAAAATAACCTTGGCTTTAAAGTATTCCAGCAGAGGCCAGGTGGCGTGGTATCTACTGCGGCTCCCAAGCTTCGGCAGACATCAGAATCACACACATTGACGGGCTCCACCCCCCGAGTTTCTGATGCAGTAGATCTTTCAAGATGTAGAAATTTTCATTTTTGACAAGTTCCCAGATGGTGCTGATGCTGCTGGTCTGGGACTTCCCTTTCAGAAGCACTGGTACTGATGACATGAGACCAGTGCAAGGCAGGCGACGGTACATGGATGCTCATCTATCCAGTCACAGCATTTTTGTGTGTGTCTAAAATTGTCCTCAAAGTTAAAAAACAGGTTTATGATAAAAAGAAAAAAAACTGATCAAATGTTTACCCGAAGCATCGGGGAAGGAGTTGGAACATCCAGCCACCACCATGTGTCACTGTCAGTGACTCAGGTTCTCCTGGCTTTGAGGACCCACAGCAAACAACGCGGGCTCTCTCGTATGGTCTGAGGAGCCCAACGGACTCACTCGGCTACTCTGGGCCACGCGCCATACCTCCCAGGAACCTGCAGATGTCAGGAGAGCACTCGAGGGTGCCGCTGCCCGAGTCAGGGAAAGAACAGGAAGCATCTGTCTGCCCACTGTGAAGTCAAATGACCCCCAATGCCAATGTGCCTTCTTGCAAGTACCCTACGAGCATATTTAAGATAAATGTCCCCAACCCTGACAAAAACGAACAGAAGAATCAGCACTGGGAAGCACGCAGTTCGGGGGGACGTGTCTCACGCGGCGATCTGGAGGAGCGACAGGCAGCAGGGAGGTGTCACGGCTCTTACAACCCGAGCACCAGGCACAGCAGAGCTCAGGGGGGCAGTGACCCAAGGCGCACCCGGCCACGGCCCAGCTCCGTGCCAGGCCAGCTGGCACGCCACCGAAAGGGCTGGAAGAAGTGGCCCGAGTCTCGCTGGTGACAGCCTCGGATACCTCAGAGCACACAGCCCATGGGGATCCCGGTGCTGCTCTGAGGTCGGGGTGCTGGAGCAGTGTGGAAACAGGTCCGTTACTGCGCCCGAAGGAAGCCTTTCCCTCACTTTGCGGGGAATAGAATGTTAGTTTCCAAGAAGCTTTACTATTCTGGGAAAATATGCCATCTCATTAGCATTCCACGTTACATAACATTTAAAAATACCAGGACAGCATTTTGGCCTATCAGATTGGGAGAAATTCTATTTACTTTTTAAATTTTTAAAATTTTTTTACTGTCCATCATACCTTTATTAGGTTTCTCCCCTAGAGACAGATGCTATTTGGACAAGCGTGTCTTCAGGATTAAAACCAGACGGACAGGATCCGGTAGACTACAGAGATCACTGGGAGTCGCCGAGGGGAACCTGGCCACTTCCCGCACGGAGACTGGACAGGTGCCTCCCTTTCCACGTCTGCACGTGAGCCCTCATGCAGCGGCTCTGGACAGACACCAGCTCCTGCCCCCTCTGCTGCTTAAATCAACTGCGGGAGACAGCTCTCCAGCCGGCTGTGCCAGTCCCCGCTCCCTCCTGTAACCGTGCGGTGCTTGTCCAAGAGCTCGGTCCACAGCTTTCTGACCATTTTCCAGCCTGACTCAGCTGACCTTGGAAGTCAATTTCCCCCTTGACCTTACTGACCGTTCCTTACTCTCTTCTTGACTTGTGCCTCCTGGACTTCCTATTACAGCTTTTCTGCTCCAAGACTGCTTTCCACAGTCTGGATCTGAGACACAGTCTTTTCATTTGCTCTCACATTCTATTCTTTTCGGTCTTACTTCTTGAGGTTGATCCTTCAGCTGTTTTTCATTTTCCTGTTCAATCTATACTAATTCATTTTCCCGAAATTCTTCCTCTTCAATTCCTACATCACTTCTTTTGATCTTTTTGCTCCATGCAGACAATTTCCTCTTCAAGGGTAGAATTATATTTTTGCTCCCAAAATCGTATTTCTATTTCTTTTTTTAATCCTCACCCAAGGACATTTTTCTATTTATATTCAGATAGAGGAGGAAGAGGCGGAGGTGGAGGTGGAGGCACAGGGGAAAGGGAGAGAGAACCATCGATGTGAGAGAGACACATCAACTGGCTGCCTCCCACACAACCCTGACCTGGGCATGGACCAAGGTACATGCTTTTGACCAGAATCGAACCCGCAATTCTTTGGTCCACAGGCTGATGCTCCAACCACTAAGCCAAACTGGCCAGGGCCATATATTTCTACATTAATGATAAGTCATGTAAAGTGTTAGATCTTTTGCTACAGATAATCATTCTGCCACAAATACCCAGATATATAGAAAATCATGATAGCAAAAGTGTGACAAAGTAAACAGATGACCAGCAAATGGCAAAGGCTGCATAGGTTCTATTTACCATTGGTATGAGGGAAACAAAGAAGGGGGAGACATTTTCTGTGCAAACCTAACTGGGAACCTGGTCACTGGCGGGACAGAATGACTGACGCGCTGGGGTGGTCTGTGAAAGGGCCTCTGAGTTGTCTGACATTTACTGGGTTTGAGGGCCCACCATCCAAGAAGACCACCTTCTCTACGCGTGTTTTCTGACCTGAATTATTATTAAGCCCCTTGAACTTCTATGTCAGACACAGCCTGAAAACAATGGGAGATTTTGGAAGAGGCTCACCTTAATTTGAAAACTTAGAAATGAGGAAAGTATTGTTGGAAACATTCAAAATTAAAACTGGAAGGAAAACCTTAAGTGCTGGGCCAAGGAGGTGACATAGTGGGTTAGGCAGGTCAGGCCTAAGACAGTGGAGGGGGTACAGACGCAGGGACTTCCATGTAGGAGTGAGGGTCCAAAGTTGCCAGAGCTGATCTTTCCAAGGAAAGCAGAAAATCCAGGTTTTCATTAAAAGTCTCCTCTTTTTGCCCAGCCAGTATGGCTCAGTGGACTGAGCTTCATTCCATGGACTGAGAAGTTCTGGTTCGATTCCCATCAGGGCACATGCCCGGGTTGCGAGCTCAATCCCCAGTAGGGGGCGCGCAGGAGGCGGCCCATCGATGTTTCTCACATAGATGTTTCTCTCTCTCTCTAAAAAAATCAATAAAAATAAGTAAAGTGGCTATAGAGTTTAAACAAAAGTCTCCTATTTTCAAAATGTTGGCAACTAATTTAAATTTTTTTTTTAAGATTTAAGATTGGGGACCTATGGACATCTAGTAAGTCATACAAAAGGCTGTTTTAAAATCCTTCATGGTAACTGAAAGAACTGTACATGGATTAGACACTGTTGTGACATCACATGTACAGGCACGCACGCACACACACACACACACTCACACTCGTGCACACATACCATCTTTAAAAAGGAAAGGGGAATCAAGCAAAAATAGCTTTACAGTCCAAAATGCATTACTTAAGAATACTTGCCGATTTGAAGTGTGTCCTCTGAATGTAATTCTAAAATGGGTTTTGATAGGAGAGGCTTGAATCTGTGGGAAGGTGGGAAAGAGGAGAAAGGTGAGTCAGGAGCTCTTACTGCACAAATGCCAGCACCTACTATAAAAATGGCAACTATGTATTGCTACTGGGGGGTCTTCTGTTCCATTCCACTGACTCGACACACTTGTCTCGGGCCAGGTCAGCTAAGCATCATACTCAGAATTTGGTATCAATCACAAACTGATCATGAAATACAGACTTAGAAACAGCTAACGATGCCCTGGCTGGTTTGGCTCAGTGGTTAGAGTGTCGGCCGGCAGAGCAGAGAGTCCCAGGTTCGGTTCCCACTGAGGGCATGTACCTCAGTTGCAGTTTTTCCCGGGCCCTGGTTGGGGTCGTGGGGGTGGCAGCCAGTTGATGTGTCTCTCTCATGTTGATGTTTCTCTCTCTCTTCCCCCATCTCTCCCTCCCGCTTTTCCTGAAGATAAAGGCAAACGTGTCCTCGGGGGAGGATAAAAAAAAAAGAAGAATTAGAATTTTATTTCAGTGACCGATTTAAACAGGAGGGAGGAAGCGTGGGTTAACACTATTGAGAAACCTTGACCTTGGGCTTGAAGTCAGGGTTTAACTCTGCTCCACCCCTTCCTAGCTGGGTGACCTTAGGCAAATTAGCCAAACTTCTTTGAGCCTCAGTAACAGAAGCACTTAACTCATGAGTCTGCTGAGGATTGGATGAGACAACCCAGCGAAGCCCTTGGCATGGTGGCAGGCAACAAGCTCAGCAAAGATCAGCAAGCTGGCCACCTACTTTGCAAACCCTCTGAAACCTGGAACGGCCTCCACGTTGTCTCATATATAATCACTGATCAACTTACGTCTCCATTCATTCATTCATTCAAAAAATATTTACTGCATGTCTACTCTGGACCAGGTAACTTTCTATGCCCTGGGGATAAAGAAGCAAACAAAATACAGACAAAGAGCAAAGTACTGCCCTGGCCGGTTTGGTTCAGGGTTAGAGCGTCAGCTTGTGGACTGAGGGGTCACGGGTTCGATTCCTAGTCAAGGGCAGGTTCGATCCCCAGCCCCAGTCGGGGTCGTGCGGGGTCACCATTCAAAGTGTCTCTCTCACATCAATGTTTCCCTCTCTGTCCCTCCGTTCCTCTCACTCTCTCTAAAGTCAATGGTGAGAATGCACTCTCTCTCACACACACACACAACGGCGAGGATGCACTCTCTCACACACACACACAACGGCGAGGATGCACTCTCTCACACACATACACACAACGGTGAGGATGCACTCTCTCACACACACACACAACGGTGAGGATGCACTCTCTCACACACACACACAACGGTGAGGATGCACACTCTCACACACACACACAACGGTGAGGATGCACTCTCTCTCTCACACACACACACAACGGTGAGGATGCACTCTCTCACACACACACACAACGGTGAGGATGCACTCTCTCTCTCTCACACACACACAACGGTGAGGATGCACTCTCTCACACACACACACAACGGTGAGGATGCACTCTCTCTCTCACACACACACAACGGTGAGGATGCACTCTCTCACACACACACAACGGTGAGGATGCACTCTCTCTCTCACACACACACACAACGGTGAGGATGCACTCTCTCACACACACACACAACGGTGAGGATGCACTCTCTCACACACACACAACGGTGAGGATGCACTCTCTCTCACACACACACACAACGGTGAGGATGCACTCTCTCACACACACACACAACGGTGAGGATGCACTCTCTCTCTCACACACACACAACGGTGAGGATGCACTCTCTCACACACACACAACGGTGAGGATGCACTCTCTCTCTCACACACACAACGGTGAGGATGCACTCTCTCACACACACACAACGGTGAGGATGCACTCTCTCACACACACACACAACGGTGAGGATGCACTCTCTCACACACACACAACGGTGAGGATGCACTCTCTCTCACACACACACACAACGGTGAGGATGCACTCTCTCACACACACACACAACGGTGAGGATGCACTCTCTCACACACACACACAACGGTGAGGATGCACTCTCTCTCACACACACACAACGGTGAGGATGCACTCTCTCACACACACACAACGGTGAGGATGCACTCTCTCTCTCACACACACACACAACGGTGAGGATGCACTCTCTCACACACACACAACGGTGAGGATGCACTCTCTCTCTCACACACACACACAACGGTGAGGATGCACTCTCTCACACACACACACAACGGTGAGGATGCACTCTCTCACACACACACACAACGGTGAGGATGCACTCTCTCACACACACACACAACGGTGAGGATGCACTCTCTCTCTCACACACACACAACGGTGAGGATGCACTCTCTCACACACACACACAACGGTGAGGATGCACTCTCTCACCACACACACAACGGTGAGGATGCACTCTCTCACACACACACACAACGGTGAGGATGCACTCTCTCTCTCACACACAACACACAACGGTGAGGATGCACTCTCTCACACACACACACAACGGTGAGGATGCACTCTCTCACACACACACACAACGGTGAGGATGCACTCTCTCTCTCACACACACACAACGGTGAGGATGCACTCTCTCACACACACACAACGGTGAGGATGCACTCTCTCACACACACACACAACGGTGAGGATGCACTCTCTCACAACACACCACACAACGGTGAGGATGCACTCTCTCTACACACACACACAACGGTGAGGATGCACTCTCTCACACACACACACAACGGTGAGGATGCACTCTCTCACACACACACACAACGGTGAGGATGCACTCTCTCACACACACCACACAACGGTGAGGATGCACTCTCTCCACACACACACAACGGTGAGGATGCACTCTCTCACACACACACACAACGGTGAGGATGCACTCTCTCACACACACACACAACGGTGAGGATGCACTTCTCTCACACACACACAACGGTGAGGATGCACTCTCTCACACACACACACAACGGTGAGGATGCACTCTCTCACACACACACACACCGGTGAGGATGCACTCTCTCACACACACACACCGGTGAGGATGCACTCTCTCACACACACACACAACGGTGAGGATGCACTCTCCTCCACAACACACACAACGGTGAGGATGCACTCTCTCTCACCACACACACAACGGTGAGGATGCACTCTCTCTCACACACACACAACGGTGAGGATGCACTCTCTCACACACACACACAACGGTGAGGATGCACTCTCTCACACACACACACAACGGTGAGGATGCACTCTCTCACACACACACACAACGGTGAGGATGCACTCTCTCACACACACACACAAACGGTGAGGATGCACTCTCTTCACACACACACACAACGGTGAGGATGCACTCTCTCACACACACACACAACGGTGAGGATGCACTCTCTCTCACACACACACAACGGCGAGGATGCACTCTCTCTCACACACACACAACGGCGAGGATGCACTCTCTCTCACACACACACACAACGGCGAGGATGCACTCTCTCACACACACACACACAACGGTGAGGATGCACTCTCTCTCACACACACACAACGGTGAGGATGCACTCTCTCTCACACACACACAACGGTGAGGATGCACTCTCTCACACACACACACAACGGTGAGGATGCACTCTCTCTCACACACACACACAACGGTGAGGATGCACTCTCTCTCACACACACACAACGGTGAGGATGCACTCTCTCACACACACACACAACGGTGAGGATGCACTCTCTCACACACACACACAACGGTGAGGATGCACTCTCTCTCTCACACACACACAACGGGAGGATGCACTCTCTCACACACACACACCACGGCGAGGATGCACTCTCTCACACACACACCAACGGTGAGGATGCACTCTCTCATCACACACACACAACGGCGAGGATGCACTCTCTCTCTCACCACACACAACGGCTGAGGATGCACTCTCTCTCACACACACACAACGGTGAGGATGCACTCTCTCACACCACACACAACGGTGAGGATGCACTCTCTCTCACACACACACAACTGTGAGGATGCACTCTCTCAACACACACAACGTGAGGATGCACTCTCTCTCCACACACACACAACGGTGAGGATGCACTCTCTCTCACACACCCACAACGGCGAGGATGCACCTCTCTCTCACACACACACAACGGTGAGGATGCACTCTCTCACACACACACACAACGGCGAGGATGCACTCTCTCTCACACACACAAACGGCGAGGATGCACTCTCTCTCACACACACACACAACGGTGAGGATGCACTCTCTCTCACACACACACAACGGTGAGGATGCACTCTCTCACACACACACACAACGGCGAGGATGCACTCTCTCACACACACACAACGGTGAGGATGCACTCTCTCACACACACACACACAACGGTGAGGATGCACTCTCTCACACACACACACACAACGGTGAGGATGCACTCTCTCTCACACACACACAACGGTGAGGATGCACTCTCTCTCACACACACAACGGTGAGGATGCACTCTCTCACCCACACACACAACGGTGAGGATGCACTCTCTCACACACACACACACAACGGTGAGGATGCACTCTCTCACACACACACACACAACGGTGAGGATGCACTCTCTCACACACACACCAACGGTGAGGATGCACTCTCTCACACACACACACACACGGCGAGGATGCACTCTCTCTCACACACACACAACGGCGAGGATGCACTCTCTCTCACACACACACAACGGCGAGGATGCACTCTCTCACACACACACCAACGGTGAGGATGCACTCTCTCACACACACACACAACGGTGAGGATGCACTCTCTCCTCACACACACACACAACGGTGAGGATGCACTCTCTCACACACACACACAACGGTGAGGATGCACTCTCTCACACACACACACAACGGTGAGGATGCACTCTCTCTCACACACACACACAACGGTGAGGATGCACTCTCTCACACACACACACAACGGTGAGGATGCACTCTCTCACACACACACACAACGGTGAGGATGCACTCTCTCTCACACACACACAACGGTGAGGATGCACTCTCTCACACACACACAACGGTGAGGATGCACTCTCTCACACACACACACAACGGTGAGGATGCACTCTCTCTCACACACACACAACGGTGAGGATGCACTCTCTCACACACACACACAACGGTGAGGATGCACTCTCTCTCACACACACACAACGGTGAGGATGCACTCTCTCACACACACACAACGGTGAGGATGCACTCTCTCACACACACACACAACGGTGAGGATGCACTCTCTCTCACACACACACAACGGTGAGGATGCACTCTCTCACACACACACAACGGTGAGGATGCACTCTCTCACACACACACACAACGGTGAGGATGCACTCTCTCACACACACACCCAACGGTGAGGATGCACTCTCTCACACACACACACAACGGTGAGGATGCACTCTCTCACCCACACACACAACGGTGAGGATGCACTCTCTCTCTCACACACACACAACGGTGAGGATGCACTCTCTCACACACACACACAATGGTGAGGATGCACTCTCTCACACACACACACAATGGTGAGGATGCACTCTCTCACACACACACACAATGGTGAGGATGCACTCTCTCACCCACACACACAATGGTGAGGATGCACTCTCACCCACACACACAACGGTGAGGATGCACTCTCTCTCACACACACACAACGGCGAGGATGCACTCTCTCTCACACACACACACAACGGTGAGGATGCACTCTCTCACACACACACACAACGGCGAGGATGCACTCTCTCACACACACAACGGTGAGGATGCACTCTCTCACACACACACACAACGGCGAGGATGCACTCTCTCACACACACACAACGGTGAGGATGCACTCTCTCACACACACACACACAACGGTGAGGATGCACTCTCTCACCCACACACACAATGGTGAGGATGCACTCTCTCACACACACACACAACGGTGAGGATGCACTCTCTCTCTCACACACACACACAACGGTGAGGATGCACTCTCTCACACACACACAACGGCGAGGATGCACTCTCTCACACACACACAACGGTGAGGATGCACTCTCTCTCACACACACACACAACGGCGAGGATGCACTCTCTCTCTCACACACACACACACACACACACACTCCCCCTTGAGAATGCGTCAGTGGGCAGTCACAGGAGAGGGTGCACTTCATCTGAAGACTGCACAACACATGGAATAAGGGTCCTGGGGCGATGAAGGTCGGAGGTGGTCCGGGGCGCGCGGTGCACGGAGCTGCGGCCCTGCAGCCGGCTGGCCGCGCTCAGAGCCGGTTCCCGCTTCGGGCCAGGCCGCACTCACTTGATGCTGTGCAGCTTTCTCGTGACTATCACTGGAAAGTCGACTTCAAAGTATTTACTGGGGAGAAGATCCTGATCCTGAGGAAAACACACGGGCATCTTTAGAATGTCATGTTCACACATGCATTTAATCACCTTCATAGACAAGTGTGAAGCCCCGAAGCGCAATGTGGCCCTTAGGATTTTAAATCAGGGGAATGATATGGTCAGAAATGCATTTTCCAAATTATTTTGGGCTCAGTAGAAGGAATGGATGAAAAAGTGAGGAGGGCCCTGGCCTGTTTGGCTCAGCAGTTAGAGGGTCAGCCCGTGGACCAGAGAGTCCCCAGTTCGGTTCCCACTAAGGGCATGTACCTCAGTTGCAGTTTGTCCCCAGCCCTGGTTGGGGTGGTGTGGGTGGCAACCACTCGATGTGTCTCTCTCACTTCAATGTTTCTCTCTCTCCCTCTCTCTCTCTCTCTCTCTCTCTCTCCTCTCCCCCCCTCCCCCTCCCACTCTATCTGAAGATATTTGAAAAAATATATATTTAAAAAAATATTTTTAAATAAAAAGCAGCTTGGGCCCTAATGGCGCAGGTCAGGAAATCAGTGTATGTCGTGGGTCTCTGGTCAGCATTTTGGAGTGAAATAGAAACAAGTATCGGGGGAAAGGCATGTCACGAGGGCGAGTATTATTTTGTGACACGCTTGTGTTTTCTGTGAACGCAGAAGAGTGGGCCGACAGAGCCCGGGCGAGGGTTCAAACCCCAGCTCCACCGCCTGTTCGCTGTGAGGCCTCAGGAAAGGCACTCGAGTCCCTGGGCCACGATTCCCTCAGCTGAGGAGTAGAGAAAGGATAACACCTCCGGGGTTGTGAGAATTAATGAGGAAACACACGAGTGACACTGAGAGCAGGGCCTGCCCTCAGTGAGTGCCACATGTGTGCCTTTTATTTAGCGACAGGTACACAGATGTAGGCATTGGCTTGGGCTGCAGTAAAAAGGTGTGAAACACACACACACACACCTGCTTCCCTTTTATGCTTCTCCTAGCTTGGCCGGGACCATTCTCAAATGCCTCCTCTCCCTGCTGGCTGTCACCGCCTGCACAGACTGTGACATCCCTCCCCTCCGGTGTCACTCAAGGACCTCTTCATGCCTCCGAGACCAGCAGAAACAGGTGCTCCCTACCTGCCTCACAGCCCAGGGTGCCCTCCAGAGACACGTCCAACACCCTCGCACTCACCTGCACTATATTCCAGAAATACAGAACGGCATTATTTTATTTTTTCTATTTTATTCCTCACCTGAGGACATTTTTCCAATTACCATCAGATGGAGTGGGAGGGAGGGGGGGAAACATTGATTAATAGAGCCACATCGACTGGCTGCCTCCTGCACGACCTGACTGGGGCCGGGGACAAATGCAACCGAGATACGTGTGCTTGACTGGAATCGAGCCTGCTGAGCCAAGCCGGCCAGGGCCAGAACTACGTATTTTAAAAAAGACAAAGAATAAGAAAGAAAAGAAAGTTGCTGACCTCCAGAACCTGGCGGGAGCTACCTGGAGCAGGATGGGATGAAGGGCAAGGCTGACACTTGTTTCTGACTTGAGTGAGCGGGCAGCTAAGGGCACCCGACAGGCAGACAGTGACAAGAGATGGAGAACAGGTGCAGAGGCAGAGAGACCCCTGGAGCTGCTTAACAGGGGCGGAAATCATGAGCAAGCATTTCCTAGTAGGCAGGGGACCCCTAAATGCGAGTTTTGGAATTGTGGGATCCAGCCATCTCCCACCCATGTGAAGAATGGTCCTCAGTTAAAATCTCAGGGGATCTGGTCTGGGGGAAAGAAGGGAAGGGGATGAGGGGGAGGCAGAAATAAAGAGAGAAGGAGAAAGAAAAGGTCAAGAACGATTTTACCCTTAACCACACAGTATCGCTACAAACCAAATGATCCTTGAAATTTCTCTCACACCCTATATATTGTGTCTCCTGTACTAGCCTACCAGGTGCAAAGTCTTCTTGGACACAACCTCAGCCGTACATCCTACAACCCGGTGCCGTGTTAACTCCCTGGATGGAGCACACCATGTCACTACAGCCTGCACTATGTACCGATGTCCATAAATATGACCAGCCCTCTGGCCCAGCAGATGGGTCACCTGTCACTAGGCAGCACCAAACATACACAATCTGCAACATCAGCTCTGCAAGGGGTCTACCTGCCCAGCACACCTGTGCAGGCCACAGCTCCCCTGAGGCAGCGCGGCCAGCAGCAGGCCGGTACAGACATCTGAGGACCATTCTCCCAACCCCCTCGCCCAGCAGTGACCGGGAGAGGCCCGGGCTGCTCTTCCATGAGCCACGCTGGGAGCCTCGCACCACGACGGCTTTGCCCAGGTTCTGGAAAACGTTGTTTATAAGGAAATTAACTAAAACTATTTTTTGTTGTAATTTCTATAAGATGCATAACACCCTTAAATTCATCTAGTAGCTGTTCCCCTGAACAGGTTTATTTTAATGAAAAACAAAATGAGATTTTTATCAAATGTTACAATGCAAAAAAAAAGACAAGAAAAAAGGGAAAAGAAAACTTCAGTTTTCTAGGTGTGCACAAAGACCATGGAGACCGACCCAAGTGGTTAGGTAACTGTGTAGCGTCTGTTTTATCCAGCCTCTGACATGGGCTTTCTGGCGTCCACCCGCCGCGGCCCAGCTCACGCAGCAGCGGCGGAGCACGCTGTGCTTCCCGGCTACGCCTGTGCTGGGCCCGTGCCAGGTGGGAGCTGCATGAGACAAGGCCGATGGGCCGACTTCCCTACCCTTTCAGAGAAGCACACATCCCTCTGAAACAGGGGTCAGCAGACTTTCTGCAAAGGGCTGAGAGTATTTCGGTCTCCACAGGCCCCACGGTGTCTGGCCGTAACGACTCCGTGGCACTGTGCTGAAGCCGCCCAGAGGACACGGCCTACCTGGGCGGCTGCGTCCCAGCAAGCCTGACTCGGAAACAGGGGGAGGCCGGGTGTGCCCATGCAACCTCAGCTCTAAAAGAGCAAAAGTATAATTCTGTTCTTTTTAAAAAGAGAAACTTGACATTTAAAAAAAAAAAAAACCTTTAGGGCCAAAAAAAACCCCCACTTCCACAAGGGACTTATAGACCCTATGCTATTCTCCGTCCTCCCTACTGACGGACATATTTCTTGGAACAGGCCCATGAGCCTCGGTGTACCTTGCTCAGAAATAAAATATCAGACCTGTTTATTATGAACCCGGCGCAAGACGGGGGGGGTGGGGGCACACGACCAAGTGAGGTGTCAGGCCTAGAAGAAGGATTTCTTGAGAGGCCCCTGTCCACACCCCGCCGCACTCTCTCCACCGCATTCTGTCCCAGTGCCTGGTGCCACGCCATGGTCGCGGCGTTACAGACCCTGTCCGCACCCCACCACACTCTCTCCACCGCGTTCTGTCCCAGTGCCTGGTGCCACGCCGTGGTCGCAGCGTTACAGACCCTGTCCGCACCCCACCACACTCTCTCCACCGCATTCTGTCCCAGTGCCTGGTGCCACGCCATGGTCGCGGCGTTACAGACCCTGTCCACACCCCACCGCACTCTCTCCACCGCATTCTGTCCCAGTGCCTGGTGCCACGCCATGGTCGCGGCGTTACAGACCCTGTCCACACCCCACCACACTCCACCACATTCTGTCCCAGTGCCTGGTGCCACGCCGTGGTCGCGGCGTTACAGACCCTGTCCACACCCCACCGCACTCTCTCCACCGCATTCTGTCCCAGTGCCTGGTGCCACGCCATGGTCGCGGCGTTACAGACCCTGTCCACACCCCACCGCACTCTCTCCACCGCATTCTGTCCCAGTGCCTGGTGCCACGCCATGGTCGCAGCGTTACAGACCCTGTCCGCACCCCACCACACTCTCTCCACCGCATTCTGTCCCAGTGCCTGGTGCCACGCCATGGTCGCAGCGTTACAGACCCTGTCCGCACCCCACCACACTCTCTCCACCGCGTTCTGTCCCAGTGCCTGGTGCCACGCCGTGGTCGCAGCGTTACAGACCCTGTCCGCACCCCACCACACTCTCTCCACCGCATTCTGTCCCAGTGCCTGGTGCCACGCCATGGTCGCGGCGTTACAGACCCTGTCCACACCCCACCGCACTCTCTCCACCGCATTCTGTCCCAGTGCCTGGTGCCACGCCATGGTCGCAGCGTTACAGACCCTGTCCGCACCCCACCACACTCTCTCCACCGCGTTCTGTCCCAGTGCCTGGTGCCACGCCGTGGTCGCAGCGTTACAGACCCTGTCCGCACCCCACCACACTCTCTCCACCGCATTCTGTCCCAGTGCCTGGTGCCACGCCATGGTCGCGGCGTTACAGACCCTGTCCACACCCCACCGCACTCTCTCCACCGCATTCTGTCCCAGTGCCTGGTGCCACGCCATGGTCGCGGCGTTACAGACCCTGTCCACACCCCACCACACTCCACCACATTCTGTCCCAGTGCCTGGTGCCACGCCGTGGTCGCGGCGTTACAGACCCTGTCCACACCCCACCGCACTCTCTCCACCGCATTCTGTCCCAGTGCCTGGTGCCACGCCATGGTCGCGGCGTTACAGACCCTGTCCACACCCCACCGCACTCTCTCCACCGCATTCTGTCCCAGTGCCTGGTGCCACGCCGTGGTCGCAGCGTTACAGACCCTGTCCGCACCCCACCACACTCTCTCCACCGCATTCTGTCCCAGTGCCTGGTGCCACGCCATGGTCGCGGCGTTACAGACCCTGTCCACACCCCACCGCACTCTCTCCACCGCATTCTGTCCCAGTGCCTGGTGCCACGCCATGGTCGCGGCGTTACAGACCCTGCCCACACCCCACCGCACTCTCTCCACCGCATTCTGTCCCAGTGCCTGGTGCCACACCATGGTCGCGGCGTTACAGACCCTGTCCACACCACGCCGCACTCTCTCCACTGCATAGCAGTTAAAGGATCGAACAAGGAACGGCTCCGAAGGGCTCTGCGCGTCACCGTCACCAGCCATGCACACCTCCAGACCATACAAACACTTTCCATCAGCAATGAAGTCGCTGATGCATGTGCTCTTTGCCTCAGCAATTCCACTGACAGTATTTTTTCTCCTGATATATTTCCTTATACAGAGAAAAACATATACAGATTTTTTTAAAAATCCTCACCCAAGGGTATTTTTCCATTGATTTTCAGATAGAGTAGGAGAAAGGGAGGAAGAGAGGGAGAGAAACATGGATGTGAGACAGACACAATGACTGGCTGCCTCTCACAGGACCCCGACCAGGAATGAGGGATCAGACCACAGTCGAGGTACGTGCTCTTGCCTGGAACCCGATGTTCTAACTGCTAAGCCAAACCGGCCAGGGCTACACAGATTTTTATTAATGCCCCACTTGCAACAGCAAAAGATGAGAAACAACCCACACACCCTCGTGAGACCCAGTGCGATGAAGCATAGGGCTGATGGTGGCTGGGGACAAGCGTAGGCTGGGGACAGCGGGGGAGACGGGCTGTCACTGCATCTGTTTTAGTATATTTTAAAATTTTTAAACCAGGTGAACAGCTTCAAAAATTAAATGTAAACAAGTGGGAAAGAGGGGGAATTTTAACTTACCTTTAATATCCAGAAGGTGGTATCCATCCCAGCTCCAAGGTTTATAATTTGACAATGACATTCTGTCTTCTGTAGAAATGCCTTTATAAGCTGACTGATGCCGTGGACTCGAGCAAAATATCCTAAAACGAGACGGAGAAAGAAGCCGTCCCTCAGTGCAACAACAGGGGTCCTTGCGGAGCCCAGCAGAAGAGCAAAGCGGAACACTCTGCCCTCAGTGGGGTCAGCAGTGTGGCTGCACTTTCCAAGCCATGCCACTCTCGGACTCTCTCCCACCTTTCTTTTTAAAATATGTTTTTATTGATGTTTTAGAGAGAGAGGAAGGGAGAGGTAGAAACAGGTGTGAGAGAGAAAAATCAACTGGCTGCCTCCCGCGCACTCCCCACTGGGGATAGAGACTACAACCCGGGCATGTGCCCTGACCGGGAATCGAACCAGGACCTCCCGTCCATGGGACACGCTCAGTCCACTGGGCCACACCAGCTGGGCTCTCCCCCTTTTTTTGTTATTTTTATCCTCACCTGAGGACATTTTTCCATTTTCTGTTCAGATAGAGTGGAAGGGAGAGAGAGAGAGAGAGAAGCATCGCCGTGAAAGGGACACATCGAGTAGCTGCCACCCACACGACCCAACCAGGGCCGGGGACAAACTGCAACCGAGGTACGTGCCCTTAGCGGGAACCGAACCTGGATCTCTCTGGACCGCAGGCCAACGCTCTAACTGCTGAGCCAAACGGGCCAGGGCTCTCCCCCCTTTTTTTAAAGTACAGGCTATTTAGTGGTGAAATTAAGTACCGTAAGAGAAATAAAATGTCCTATAATTTTACTTAAGGAAGGACAAGGGTTTACATCAAAACATCTTAATTCCTTCATCTTCTTCACCCATCCCCCAGGTCCCTCCCATCTGGCAAGCAACAAAATTTCCCTATATCTATGAGTCTGTTTCCGTTCTGCTTGCTCATTTTGTTTGTAGATTCAATTGCTGATAAAGAGGTATTTATTGACATTTTATTGTTCATATTTTTGTTCTTCTCTTTCAAGAAGACCCTTCAACATTTCATATAATACTGGTTTGATGGTGATGAACTCCTTTAGCTTTTTCTTGACTGGGAAACTCTTTATATGTCCATTGATTCTAAATGATAGCTTTGCAGGACACAGTAATCTTGGTTGCAGGTCGTTACTTTTCATCACTTTCAGTATCTCTTGCCACTCCTTTTCAGCCTGAAAAGTTTCTTTTTAAAAATCATCTGACAGTCTTATGAGAGCTCCTTTGTAAGTAACAAACTGCTTTTCTCTTGCTGCTTTTAAGATTCTCTCTTTGTCTTGAACCTTTGGCATTTTGATGATGATGTGTCTTGGTGTGGACCTCTTTCTGTTCATCTTGTTTTGGACTCTCTGTGCTTCCTGGACTATATGTCTGTTTCCTTCATCAAATCAGGGAAGTTTCCTGTCATTATTTTTTCAAATAGGTTTTCAATTTCTTGCTCTCTGTCTTCTCCTTCTGGCACCCCTATGAGGAGAATATTGGTGTGCTTGAAGTTGTCCCAGAGACTCCTTACACTATCCTCATTTTTTTGGACTCTTTTTTCTTTTTGCTGTTGATTGGGTGTTTTTTGCTTCCTTATGTTCCAAATTGATGGTTTGCTTCTTGGCTTTACCTACTCTATTATTGATTACCTGTAAATTATTCTCTATTTCAGTTAGTGCATCCTTCATTTCTGACTGGTCCTTGTTCATGTTGATGATGTTCTCATTAAGTTCCTTGGAGTTCTCCTTAAGTTCCCTGAAGGTCTCACTAAAGTCCTTGAGCATCTTTATAACCAGTGTTTTGAACTCTGCATCTGATTGACTGCTTATCTCCATTTTATTTAGTTCTTTCCCTGGAATTTTTGTCTGTTCTTTCATTTGGGACATGTGTCTTTTCTCCTTATTTTGGCTGCTTCCCTATGAATGTTTCTATGTATTAGGTAGAGTTCTATGTCTCGTAGGCTTCGTAGGGTGGCCTATTGTTGTAGGTGTCCTGTAGGACCCAGTGGCACAGCCTCTCTGATCAACCCAGCTGGGCCCTTGAGGTGCACCCCTAGTGTGAACTGTACACCGTTCTGTTGTAACTGAGCCTTGATTGCTGTTGGCACGTCAGTGGGAGGGATTTACTCAGGCTGATCAGCTGCAAGGACTGGCTGTGCCCACTGACCACTGGACTCTGAGTATCTTGGAGGATCAGCTGTGCAGGGCCCACCACACAGAGCCAGACTTACTCCGGCAGGGTTCTGGTACTGAGTCCATTCATCGAGTGTGTCACTTGTGGAGATGGTTGGGTGGTGGTGTTTTGATGTGGTCTGTAGCTGTCCACTGGGTGTGCTGGCTCTGGGGCAAGGTCAGCCACTGCCAGTGTTCTGCCTGGGGCCACCGGGCATAAGCTACAAAGTGATCTGCCAATGGCTGCTTCTTGTGCTGGGCTTGGAAGTGCCCAGGCAAAGCCAAGTTGTGAATCAAGGCTGGCTGCTTCTAGAGCCAGGCCTGGGGCCATTTAACAAGAGGTATGGGGCTTGCTGAGACCAGATGCTGCTTGTTTGAGAGATTTTAGGAAACTCTGAAGAAGAATCTGGGACAGGCCAATCCTATGGTAAAGCCACTGGAAAGAGCATAGGTGAGTCTGAAGGTTGGATGGGGCGGGGCCTCAGGGAATCACCAGGGCGGGGCAAACAGTATGAGTCAGGTTGCTGGAATCCCAGATATGGTTGCCCCATGGAAGGGCTCACCAAAGGAAAGATGGCCTCCGCCAGCATGTCTGTCCAGGAGAAAGCTGCCCCTCCAGTTCCTGAACCAATGCCAAACAATTCAGTTCTTCCCCGTTTGTCTCTGATGCCCCTCAAACTGCCACCCTAATACTAGAGCCCAGAAGGAGCGAGTCCGAGTTACATTCATGTGCAGGTCCTTTAATAGGAGCTGCCAGGGGCCCCAGCAGCATCAGCCTTCCTGAGCCTCAGTTCCCGCTGGTTTTACAGCCAGAAGTGATGGGGATTCTCTTCCTGGCACTGGAACTCTGACTGGTATGGGACAGGGACCCCTCAGTCCTCAGGGAGGACCTTCACAGCCAAGGTGTCCTCCTGGTTTTTATCCACCACACGTGGGTGTGGGACCAGCCTGTCTGCCTCCGTCCCTCCTACCAGTCTCCATGTGGCCTCTTCTTTTTTTATTGCATTTATCTTTAGAAAGAGTGGGACTAAGAGAGAGAGAGAGAGAGAAACAATGATGCAAAAGAGACACATCGAGTGGCTGCCACCCACACGACCCCAACCACGGCGGGGACAAACTGCAACCAAGGTACATGCCCTTAGCAGGAACTGAACCCAGGACTCTCCGGTCTACGGGATGACGCTCTAACCGCTGAGCCAAACCAGCCAGGGCCATGTGGTCTCTTCTTTAATCTCATAGTTGTAGGACTTCCATGCAGCTCAATGGCAGGCGGTTCTGAAAGATGACTGTTCTGTAGTTTAATTGCAATTTTGATGTGGTTGTGGGAGGAGGCGAGGACTATGTTTACCTATACCGCCGTCCTGACTGGAAGTCCCTTTAATTTGTTTTATTGTTGACAGTATGACAGATGTCCCCTATTCTCCCCAGCCCCCGCCCCACCCCAGGCCTTCCCCACACTACTGTCTGTGTCCATGGGCTGTGCATACAGGCTGCACGTTCTTCAGTCCACCTCTCCCGGTCTGCCCCGCCCCTCCCCTCTGAGCTCCGTCAGTGTGCTCCATGCATCCAGGTCTCAGGACCTATTTTGTTCATCAGTTTATTTTGTTCATTAGATTCCACACATAAGTGAGGTCATGTGATATGTCTTTTTTTTTTAAGAACCAAATTTAAGAGTAGCATTTAGAAACTTTTATTGCAACTTCACAGGAATTTTATATCTGTTGAGTCTACTCATAATTTGCGCTTCTATTCTGTATGTCTTCTTCATCTATTTTTCTAGTAAATCACTTTCATTACATTTTATAGAAACATACACAGGGATTGGGCACTGGAAAACACACAGCCTCACCACACACTGTTTGAGGAGCACTCTCCTGGTGCGTTGTAAGTCCCCAAACTAGAGCGTCAAACCCAGAGAGAGGAAGGAAGGAAGGAGGCTAACATGCTGCCAGCGGCACCAAACCAGCCACCAGGGCAAGTCTCTGCCTCTGAAAAACTCATGAGAAAACCTTCCCCAGCCCGGTCGGTGGGGCTCAGTGGACTGAGCATTGTCGCATGGACTGAGAGGTCCCGGTTCGAATCCTGGTCAGGCACGTACCTGGGTGGTGGGCTCAATCCTCAGTAGGGGCGTGCAGGAGGCAGCCAATCAATGTTTCTCTCTCACATCAATGTTTCCATCTCTCTCTCCCTTCCTCTCTTTCTAAAGAATTGGGGAAAAAACGAAAAAGAAAAAAAAAACCTGCTCCAGAGCACAGGAGGGAGGCTGAAGACCTCTCAGCCAGGCTCTGCCCAAGCTCACTGATGCCTGGTTCCACCCTTAGCTCAAAGGAAACACCCATTTTTAAATTTCTTTGCATTTCTTTATTTTTTAATTTTTTTTCCTTTATTGATTTTACAGAGAGAGGAAATGAGAGAGAGAGAGAGACAAAACATCGATGAGAGAGAACAGCAACTGGCTGCCTCCTGCATGCCCCCCACTGGGGATTGGGCCCACAACCTGGGAACATGTCCTGACCAGGAATCGAACCGGCGACCTCTTGATGCATGGGTTGACGCTCAACCACTGAGCCACACCGGCTGAACTTCTTTGCATTTCTTAAAGACCCCACCTCTAGGACCCAGTTTTCAGGGCCCAGAGTCCCTGCCTACACAGGAATGATTGTCATTTGGTCAATTTCTCAGTCTGGCTGAGACTAAGTCTGGCCAGCCAAGTCCTTTGACTTTCCTGATGGAAATGACTTGCAGAGCCTAATGGTGTTATCAACATTTTAATAAGATGACAAAATACAATCCCTTACGTGAACAGACACTTCATAGTGAAAGGTATATAAGCCCTGGCTGGTATGGCTCAATGGTTGCAGCATCGGCCCAAAGACCAAAGAGTCATGGGTTTGATTCTACTCAAGGGCACATACCTCGGTTGCAGTTCATCCCTGGCCCTGGTCGGGATTGTGTGAGAGGCCACCAATCAATGCATCTCTCACATCGATGTTTCTCTCTCTCTCTCTCTCTCTCTCCCTCCCTTCGGCCCTTCCTCTCATTCTATCTGAAAATAATGAAAAAATATCCTCAGGTGAGGATTAAAAAGAAAAAAGATCTATAAATGGCTTTTTAACATATGAAAATGATCTTCAACCTTATCTGTAAGAAGAATAAAAAATAAAATACTCAAAGATACCACTTCTCAATATTAGATTAAGAAAGATTAAAAAGTTTCACACTAGAGGGATCATATCTCAACATAATAAAGGGCATATATGAAAGACCTACAGCCAACATCATACTCAATGGGCAAAAATTAAAAGCATTTCCCTTAAGAACAGGAACAAGACAAGGATGCCCACTTTCGCCACTCTTATTTAACATAGTACTGAAAGTACAGCAATCAGACAGGAGGAAAAAATAAAAGGGATCCTAATGGGAAAGAAGGAAGTGAAACTGTCATTATTTGCAGATGACATGATACTATATGTAGAAAACCCCAAAGACTCCATCAAAAATTTACTAGACTTAATACATGAATTTGGCCAAGTAGTAGGATACAAAATTAATGTCAAGAAATTGATGGCATTCTTATACACCAATGATGAACTCACAGAAAGAGAAACAATCCCATTTACCATCACAGCAAAAAAATTAAGATACCTAGGAATAAACTTAACCAAAGAAATAAAGGACCTATTTGCAGAAAACTACAGGTCACTGGGGAGGAAAAAATAGAGGAAAATATAAAAAAGTGGAAGCACATACCTTGTTCATGAATTGGAAGAATCAACATCATTAAAATGTCCATACTACCCAAAGCAATCTATAGATTCAATGCAATCCCCATCAAAATACCAACAACATATTTTATAGAACTAGAACAAATACTTCAAAAGTTCATATGGAACCAAAAAAGACCCCGAATAGCCACAGCAATCTTGAAAAAGAAGAACAAAGTTGGAGGGATCACATTACCAGATTTCAGGTTATACTACAAAGCCACTGTAATAAAAACAGCCTGGTACTGGCACAAGAACAGACACATAGACTAGTGGAACAGAACAGAGAACCCAGAAATGGACTCAAGGCAATATGCTCAATTAATATTTGACAAAGGTGGCAAGAGCATACAGTGGAGTAAAGACAGCCTCTTTAATAAATGGTGTTGAAAAAATTGGACAGCTACATGCAAAAAAATGAAACTAGACCATCAATTTACACCATACACAATAATAAACTCAAAATGGATAAAAGACTTAAATGTGACTCATGAAGCCATAAAAATTCTAGAAGAAAATGTAGGCAACAAAATTTCAGACATCACACACAGCAGAATTTTCACGGATACATCACCTAAGACAACAGAAACAAAGGAGAAAATGAACACATGGGACTACATCAAACTCAAAAGCTTCTGCACAGCAAAAGATACAACCCACTGTATGGGAGAGCATAACTTCCAATGATATATCAGATAAGGGGTTAATTTCCAATATATATAGAGTGCTCATACAACTCAACAAAAGGAAGACAAAGAACTCAATTAAAAAATGGGCTGAGGATGCCCTGGCCAGTTTGGCTCAGCGGTTAGAGCGTCGGCCTGCGGTCTGGAGAGACCCGGGTTCGGTTCCCGCTAAGGGCACGTACTTCGGTTGCAGTTTGTCCCCGGCCCTGGTTGGTCGTGCGGGTGGCAGCCACTCGATGTGTCCCTTCACATCGATGTTTCTCTCTCTCTCTCCCTTCCTCTCTCTCCCTCCCACTCTATCTGTACAAAAAATGGAAAAATATCCTCAGGTGAGGATAAAAAAAAAAAAAAAATGGGCTGAGGAATTAAGTAGACACCTCTCCAAACAAGACATACAAATGGCTAAGAGACGTATGAAGAAATGCTCAACTTCACTAATCATCAGAGAGATGCAAATTAAAATAACAATGAGATATCACCTCACACCTGTCAGAATGGCCACCATCGACAAATCATCAAACAAGTGTTGGCGAGGGTGTGGAGAAAAGGGGACTCTAGTGCACTGCTGGTGGGAATGCAGACTGGTGCAGCCACTGTGGAAAACACTATGGTGTTACCTCAAAAAATTAAAAACTGAACTTCCATTTGACCCAATGATCCCACTTCTAGGAATATACCCTAAGAAGCCTGAAACACCAATCAGAAAGAATATATGTACCCCCATGTTCGTAGCAGCACTATTTACAATAGCTAAGATCTGGAAACAGCCCAAATGTCCATCAGTAGACGAGGGGATAAAAAAGCTGTGGTACATATACACAATGGAGTACTATGCAGCTGTAAGAAAGAAAGATCTTTTATCTTTTGAGACAACATGGAGGGACCTGGAAACTATTATCTTAAGTGAAACAAGCCAAGCAGAGAAAGACAAATATCACATGATCTCACTTATTTGTGGAATATAATGAACATAACAGTCTGAGGAATGGGGTAGTCCCAGAGACGTGGAAGTGGGGAACAGACTGACAATCCCCTGAAGAGGGGGTGGGGAGGAGAGAGATAAACCACAGAACTTATATGCATGTATGCATGAACAATGGACATGGACAAAGGTGAGGACAGGGTGGGGAGGGAGGGGGAGGGTGGAATCACTGGGGTGAAAAGGAGAAACATCTGTAACAAAAATAAAGTAATTAATTAAAAAAAAAAAAGTTTCACACTGATGGCCAAGATTTGATAATTACTGAAACTGGTCCACATGCGATTCCACTTTTGTATGGTTTGAAAATTTCCATAATAAAAGATTTTTATTTTAATAAAAATTTTGGTTTAAATATCAGTTTCATAATGCGCTGTGTTAGTAGGATGCTGGAAATAAGCACTCTCATATACTACTGGACAGCATGCATCCGGAACTTCCTTTTAAAGGCTGAATCCCTAAAGCTTCAGACCGCCCAGCTGATGAGGAAATGTTGGAGAAAGATGGTCACTTGCCTCTGTTAATCTCCGGGGCCTTCCTCTCTTTAGACAGTCTCACCAGATGCTGGATGTAAGGGTCATTCCAGTAGCCAATGCTCACTGCAAACCTGAGGGACGAGAGAAGGCGTGTGAGCAGAGATCGCTGTAGATTCCGGCCCAGGCTCACGGCCATGTTCCAGGAACCAGGTCAAGGACCAAAGGGAAATAACCGACCTCAAACGGCCAATGACAAAAGCACAGTCAGTGCTCCATGACCCATTTGAACACACTCCCATTCTACTCTACAGTCACTCACACTGCCATTGTGTCCCACGGTGGCCCTTCTCACCTGTCTTTCCTCTTACCGTGAATTCCTTTCCCAGAATCCCACACAGCAAATAACCTCATTTCATCGTCATATACAGGACTTACAACCATTTACTCACACAGCAAACTCACTGGCCAAAGTTATCTTATAGTTATCTCTTAGTCAGATAACTATACTTCTCTGTCGAGAGGGAAGGAAATTCAGGAACATTTGGCAAACATCACTGATAATGACCTAAGTTTTTCTCCTGAGTCTGTATCTGATATGAGTCACTTCACATCCTTAAGGCCGTCATAGTGGGAAGACCAGGAATAAGCAAAACAACTGCAACATGCCAATGCTGTGGTAGCCTAAACTGTCTCTACCCCAGTCTGCACCACAAGGAGTTAAAATCTGAGTGTTGCGAGCCTGGGACCTGAAGCCGGGTTACACTGGAAGTCTTCGGGCAGCCATGAGTGGAATTAGCCTCAGGACCACTGACAAGTCATGGGACCCTAAGGCCATGCCGCTGTGGGCCTGGAGCCCACCCACCTCTCAAAGGATATTCTGTGAGATAATAAATGTCTTCACCATTGGAGCCAACTTGAGCCAGGCTTCTGTTACTTTCAGCCTAAAGCACCCTAACTAATACCCGAGTAATGTGCTCATTCCATGCTGCTTGCTGAGTAATCCGAAACCTAGGGAGTGTGTGTGGGAGGTGTGTGCATGTGTTAGGTCTCCCAGATGGGTTCTGAGCTCCCAGAAGCAGATACTATCTCTTCTCTTTATCTTCCCTCCCCTCCCCTCTCCTTCCTTTCCTTTCCTTTTCTTTTCATCTCCTGACGAGGCTTACTGCAGCCCTGACTGCAGAAGGTTCTGATTCTGAAAAAAAATGTCCCCGACAGTGTGTCATATTTATGTTTATACAGACACTTACAAGAAAATACCTGTGTTCAGCTACTCAATGCCGCCACTCGGCACAGAAACATACAAAGTACTCACCAAGAACACTCTTTGCTATAAGCCTAGACTGTCCAAGGAAAACAGAATTTTTTCTCAGTAGTCCAAGACTGTTTTACAAACAATGAGTTGTGCCCAGCTGGTGTGGCTCAGTGGATTGAGCGTCATCCCATGGACTGAGAAAGCCCCGTTTGATTCCCAGTCAGGGCACATGCCAGGGTTGCAGGCTTGATCCCCACTGGGGGTGTGCAGGAGGCAGCCAATCGATGTTTCTCTCTCACATTGATGTTCTATCTCTCCCTTCCTCTCTCTCTAAAAAAATCAATAAAAACATATTTAAAAAACAAACATGGTTTGGCTCAGCGGTTGGAGCGTCGGCCTGCGGACCAGAGAGTCCCGGGTTCGGTTCCCGCTAGGGGCACATACCCCCAAAAAACATATTTAAACAAAAAACAGTGAGTTGTGACCTATCAATACCTTAAAATCAATTGAATAGTGTGAAAATCTGCATTTAAAAAATGAGGCAGAATAGAGTAAAACAAAATACCGGTGTGCATTACACACAGTAAGAGATCAGACTTTTGTGAAGCTTTGTTTCACGCCTGTGTTGCAGTACTGTTTTCTCATTGAATTCAATGAACAGATTTCAAAGGAGTCATCTAGTGCCATCTAGTGGTCAATGCCATTCTGCACTGAAGGAAGAAGGGTGGCCTAGTGATGAGAACACCTCGAACAGTTAAAGGGTTGGAAGGGGCCTTGGAAATTATCTAGTCAACCCCAACATCCAGTGCAAGAATTCGTTGCTGGTATCACACCACTCACTCCACTGTGAAGCAACAGCTGGAAAGCCGATCAGATGGCCTCCCTCCACGCACCCCTTGTTGGATTTTTACTGCTCTGGTGGATGACAAGGAGCAATTTCTATTCCTCTCGACTCTGTACTATCCATCGTCTTAGGTCATTGATTCAGTCGAGCAGTGTTCACTGAGTGACTGCTCAGTGCCAGGCATGGGGAATAGAGCAGTGAGCAAGGCGGAGAAGGGCCAGAGGCAAGGATGAGGACAAGACTGCGACCAACGAAGGGCATGAGCAGCACAGAGAGTAAAGTGGGAAACAGGCCTCTCCGGAAGGGGAGTGCACGAGCCGGGCCCTCGAGAATGGGGAGTCACAGTGCAAAGCCCACTGCCGCCGGGAGGGGCCGCTGGCAGACACGCCCACCTGGGAGTGGACTTGAGTGAGTGTCCCAGTGACAGAAAGTAGGCAGGGGGGCTGGAGAGCAGTAAGGAAACAGGAGAGCCCTGGCCAGTCTGGTTTAGCAGTTAGAGCATTGGCCCACGAACCAAAGGGTCGCGGGATCGATTCCTGGTCAAAGGCACATACCTGGGTTGCGGGTTTGATCTCCAGTCAAGGTCGTGTGGAAAGCAATCAATCAATGTCTCTCTCACATCGGTGTTTCTTTCTTTCTTTTCCTCTCTCTCTCTTCCCCTCCCTCCCTTCCACTCTATCTGGAAATTAATGGGAAAATATCCTCAGGTGAGATTAACAACAACAACAAAAAAAAAAACACAGGAGAAACCAGGAAAGAGGCTGAGGAGAGAAGCAAAAAACAGGCACAGGCCACACAAAACCTGGCAGGAGCCTGGGACTGCCCTCATCAATACACGGGCCACGCTGGGGAGACACCTCGGGCAGACCCAAGCACATCGGACCACTGGTTCCCGTGAGTCCTTCTTCCCAGTTCCTAACATCTGTCTCTTTCCAGGCCTCACAACTGTATATCTACTTTTGCCCAACCCTGTATATGAATGTGTATTGTGTATATGTGTCGGTATTATGTCGGTATGTATGTGTACATGTGTATATACAACCACATATATATTTCCACATACACTCCTACATATGTACACATACATACCGACATAATACTGATACATATATATACAATACACATTCACATACAGGGTTGGGCAAAAGTAGATTTACAGTTGTGTATGTGGTTGTATTGTGTATGTGTGTATGTAGATATGTATGTGTGAATGTGTATGTGTATATATGCATATGTGTGAGAATATATATGTATATCCACATATATGCAACTGCAAAAATCAACTGAACATCCTTAGCATTAATTTTCAAGTCTGAGATTTTAACTGCATACTGCCTGTGGTCTTTAAGATGTTACTCCATCTCACCCTGGCTGGTTTGGCTCACCAGTTAGAGCGTCGGCCTGCGGTCCAGAGAGACCTGGGTTCAGTTCCCGCTAAGGGCATGTACCACGGTTGCAATTTGTCCCCGGCCCTGGTTGGGTCGTGCAGGAGGCAGCCACTCGATGTGTCCCTTTCACATCGATGTTTCTCTCTCTTTCTCTCTCTTTCCCTCCCACTCTATCTGAAGAAAAAATGGAAAAATGTCCTCGGGTGAGGATAAAAAAAAAAAAAGATATTACTCCATGTCCAATTTTAAATTTTATTGTTGTTCTTTTACATCTTTAGTTTCTATTTTCCTATAGGTCTTATGCTTGGTTCAGAAATGAAAGCCAGGAAGCAAAGTCTTCAGGGCAACTGCTCTATACCTAGACAGAATGTGGAACTGTTTCCCCTCTTGTGGGCTCTTGAAAGCTTCTTGTCACTTTCCTAAGTAGATTTACAAGGCCTAACAGTTAAATCAACTAAAGCACTGGGCCTCAATAACCGAGAAGTTGCACAAGTGTCCTCCCAAAGGAGAGACTCCTGGTATTGCCTTTGGCTTCACCTCACACCTAATTACTTTAAGATGACTAATGCAATCTAAAATTTACTGTGTCTGTAGTAAGCAGTCACTGTACAGTGGGCAAAATGTCAATGGAAACGAAACTAACATTCACAAGAAAATGAAATCAGGAGAATCCAGTCAGTCCCCGGTACATTGTTCCTAATCTAACATTAGTAAAAAAAATAGTCAATACCATATATAACAAGATGAAAGAACTTGAACAGTGCTAAAGTACTTTTGGAAAAAATAAAACATTTACAAACATGTGTCCTAAGCGTCATTCCCAGTCTGTGGCTTGCCACTTCATTTCCTTAGAGGTATATCGACACTCTCCTATGTTTTCACACAGAAGCTCCAGGGTTCTAGCTTTTATATTCAGGTTTATGAATCATCCCAAATGAAGGTCTGTGTATGGAATGAGGTAGGGGGTCCAGGTGTTTCCACCTGAATATCCAGTTGAGTCACAATTTTTGGCTAAAAAGGCTTTCCTTTCTCCCACTGACTGGCTCGGCCTCTGTGCAAACATCAACTGCAGTAGTGGGGGTCTATTTCCGACTGTGTTCTGCCTCACTGATCTACCTTTAAGCCAAGACCACACTGTTTTGATTAACGTAGCTTCACAGTAAATCTTTAAGTAGTATGAAACAGTGTTAAGTCCTCCAACTTTTTTCTTCTTTAGAAGACTTCTTTGGGTATTCTAGACCCTTTGCATTTCTATATACATGGTACAATCCACTTATAATGTCTAATAAAGATGGCTAAGATTTTGACTGGGATTTCACTGACTCTGTGGATCAATTTGGGGAGACAAGAAATGTCACCAACACCAATTTTTCTAATGTGTGAACAAAGTTTACCTCCCATTTATGTAAGTCTTCTTTAATTTCTCTTAGCAACGTTTTATAGTTTTCTGTGTAAAGGTGTTTCATAACTGTCATTAGATTTATTCTTAAACAATTTATATTTTGATGCTATTATAAATAATATTTTTTCATTTCATTTTCCTATACATGAATGCATATTTGCAATATATCTATCTGACAAAAGACTCCTATCCAACTATAAAATGAACTACAACATAAGTCAAAACCAAGAATAAGATCATTAATA